CTATTATTTATTTGATTTTTATCTATCATTGATAAATACTTTTGTGGATAAATATCAATGAATCAAAATCAAAGACTTTATATAAACTATTCTGAAAAATATATAACTGATAGTTTGTCTATACTACACAAGCCGTTCCCAGTGGAGTTCAATCAGGTCTATTGTGAGATATCAACTCACTGAACACAATGGTGTAGGGTGGTGCAATTTTGTGGATCAGTTGAAGTTAGACATTATTACCATTGGATACCGGTTGGCTCAGTGGTCTAGTGGTTAAGCTCCTGGTGCGAGATTGATAGGTCCTGTGTTCAAATTTCGCGGGGTGCGGGATCGTGGATGAGCACTGCTGAGGAGTCCCATGGTAGCACGAAACGGCCATGCAATGCTTACAGGTTTTCAACGGTGGTCTAGCTTCAATTGACTCATGATTTCAATCTGTGAAAATTCTTCATTTGTTTATCAAACGTTTTTTACATAACAAAACATTAATTACACCAAACTATAATTATGTTTTTAATCAATTCACTCTATATTACTTAATCAATATACTTATAAAATAACCATTGAACTCATAGTTTTAAGCATTTTATTAGAAGAGACTGAATAAATGTTTTTGTAAGGAGACTATGAGTATCATTTTTTATCATTAGTCACTGGAAAAAAAAAGTAATTTAAGTAGAAAGAAATACCCGTGTATTTGGAAAAAGTGTTCATGTTGGTCTTCTACATTTCACCTATCTTCAATGTGACATTTATGGAATGTTACGTAAAATAAGTTATTGATTTATATTTTTATCAAAAAAATAAATAAATAACTTGCAAACATTTAGTAATTTTCATCTAGAGACCTATTGCAATACACGCGCAATTGAGTACGTTCGGTTAAGCCCTTTTGTTAACTTATTTAGCGGACAAAGTCATCCGTACTATAACAACTTATTGTATCTTTATTATTGTTGCGCTTGTATGAAATATGTATGCTTGAACATTGCTTACCGCCTACTCATATATTCATTCTGCTAGTTTTATCATTGATTCGATAATGCATTCATATATATATATATATATATATATTATATATATATATATATATATATATATATATATATATATATATATATATATATATTATATATATATAATACTACTCGATACTCTCTCAGTTCTCTGCTTCTCTTTGCCTTCTGATTTCAACACTGTTGAGGGTTATATGATAACGGTTACGAGGCTGATTGGTCAACGAAGCACAGCCACTACAAACCAAGAAAAAAAGTATTTTCATTTGAATGATTTTTCATAAATTTAAACAAACTAAAAAAATAATATTTTCAGAGTAAGATTGTACTTCGCTGCTTTCTTATCAGTTACATACAAGATGTGTTAAGCGGACCCAGGAAATTTCTCAAAAAGACAAAATGCTCAAAGGGGTCCCAAAAAAGCGCTGAGAAACATTTTATCCAATTAACATTCAATAGACGTTTCTCAGAAACATCTAGAAAGTGAAAATTCACTTGTCAACTTTCTGATTCGATGATTATCTATCCTGCTAATATGTTTAGAAAGGCTTCAGAACTTTCCAGAAGCCCAGAGTCATCTGAAATGCTAGAAATACTCTTGATTTTTTGCACATGATCTAACATTGAAGCAAAACGTTCTTCCCATTTTTTATGACTTTTCTTTCGTATTCAAGTTACCGTGTAGATTAAGCCTGGGGGTTACTAGGAGAGTTTAGGAAACTGAAACAAGCGTTCAATTAAAAGATTTATCAGTATAAAGTTTAACTACTTCAGAATATACGAACATATAAATTGTTTATCAACGAACAGTTTAAATATTAATTTATTTTGTTAACAGATTAAATTAAATTAACGTTTTATTGTAGTTTGTTGATAAATAATAAGCGTTATAACAACAAGATGTTGAAGATTATGATTCAATTATGTAATATTATAAAAGATGATTGTTATAACTTGTCAATCGAATGCTATTTGAAGCTTCGTGTATTTAGTGAGATTTGTGTCGTTGGTGAGGAGCAGAGATATAGTTTATTCTAACCCAAAGTCTACGAGAACGCATCGAATTATGTATAACAACATACCTTCAGTTCAACAACAAAATGTACGAACAAACGAAAGGGACACCAATGAGATCACCAATATCAGGACTGATCGCAGAAGCAGTGATGCAAAGACTAGAAGCCGCGATATTACCAGTGATCAAGCCAAAAATTTGGATTCGCTATGTAGACGACACATTCGTCATCGTCAAAATAATGAGCTGGAAAACACTTACAAACTGATCAACAACGTTTTCGATTACATCAAATTCACAATGGAACAACAGACTATCATTCTTGGATATATTGATCACTAGGACCGACACAGGAAAACTGGAAACCCAAGTGTATAGGAAACCGACCCATACGGATCAAATTCTCAACTACAATAGCAACAACCCAAGAGCTCACAAAATCAACTGCGTACACACTTTGTTCAAGAGGGCGAGGACACACTGCAGCACACTGACAGCACGAAAAAATGAAGATCAACATCTGAAGGACGTATTTCAAAAGAACGGCTACCCAATCAGCTTCATCGAAAAATACCGACCGCGCGTAGCATCAGAACCCAAGTCAAGCACAGAAATCAACAGAAGGATCGCCCTACCATACATAAAAGGCATATCAGAAACCACAACGAGACTGCTGAAAACCTTCGGGATAGGTGTGGCACACAAACAGACAAAATCACTACAATCAATCCTATGCAAACCAAAGGATGAAATAACAAAGGAAGACAAATCAAACATCATCTACAAAATAAATTGTGCCAACTGCGAAAAACACCACATCGGACTAAGCAGACACCCCCTTCACCTTCACCTACATGAACATCGATTAGCAGTCAAACGCCATGATATATCCTCACTTATATCAATACACGTGGACATCTGCGGACACTCATTCGATTGGGAAAATGTAGAAATCTTAGACAGAGGAAATTCCAAAAACACCAGAGAATTTTTAGAATCCTGGCACTTAGGTCAATCAGCAATCAACAAGCATATTGAAATCAATCCAATTTATCAACCAATCAGGAAAATCATGCACAAATGTAGGAACAAAAATCAAACCAATGGGAGACACAACCAAAACAAAGAAGTAAACAATGACAAATTTAAGGTCAATAAGAACTAATCAACATCGAGGTGTACAGAACAAGCTGTGAAACTCATATGGAGAAATTCGAAATTTCACTTCTATTTGAAGTTTGTGCTGATGATGTCGTTCAGAAGAACGATGAAAGCTCCACGACTAAACCATCCAGCTCAGAGAACAAAAATCCATCAAGAAGATTTATTAACCGCAAAACACGACGACGACTCTAGTCGAAAATACACTCATTTATATATTGATTGTACACCCATTTTGATTAATAATTAGGATGAAATCACATATATAACAAATCACATAATGAGCATAGTTCATGTCAACTGAATACAAGAATATCATATATTATACAAGAAAACAAAACAACTACTACACTGAATGATCATTATATTGAATCAAAACGGAAGTAATCTTGAACCAAAACTCATAATGAGGAAATCAATCGAAAATTGACTTTTCTTTCCATTATATCAATGATAACAATTAACTTCTGAATACAATATAGAACATATTCGACGTTTACAGTTATTGTATTTTATTTCACTTATAAACTATTTAGTGTATAAAAACAATAAAGGTTTTTAAACTTGAAATTATAATGAGAATTATTTTGTATTTTTTAAAGTTCTCATACTTTTTGTTTAATTCTAAGCAACACATTACTAGAATTAACTTGATTAAAAGACATGGTCACGTGTGGCTCAATCATACCATTGTTGATTTAGTGAGTTTGTCAGTTGTGAAAAATGGTTATATATATGAGTATTTGATGTTGGTTAGATGTCTTATTTACAAAGTCATTTTGCACAATAGGCAACTGTAAAATGTATTTGGATTCTATGATTGTTCCCAAATTTAAATACAATTTGTTACCATGACAAGTACAAATGTGTGCAACTTAATTAAAGGTTTTTACTGTATATTTTTATCACTATTGGTTTATTCGGTTTATGATACATATAAGTAAATAGAAATGTACTCTACATTATCTAACTTTAATTTTTATGAAAGTAATATACATCATTATTATAGTTAAAAGGTGCATTTCAGTACTCAAACGGTTATATGTGCCGTCTATGGCAAATATGTCATGTTTAGTATATCAAAGCTCAATTTATGATTTGTTCATGGTATATTTTTGGCATTTCAGTATTTATTATCAGTTTGTATATTATTGACAACTCTGTGGTCATTGGATCTATTCCTTTTGCTGGATTATATACAATAACTAATTCTATGATGTAAAACCATTTCACTAGGACTTTTTCATAATCTATGATTTTCATTAGTTCATATTCGTATTAATTTTGTGGAAAATGGTTATTTTGGAGGAGTTTTGTTCTCTGAGCTGGATGGTTTGGTCGTGGAGCTTTCATCGTTCTTCTTAAAGACATCATCAGCACAAACTTCAGATAGAAATGAAGTGTTCGAATTACTCCATATGAGTTTCACAGCTTGTTCTGTACACCTCGATGTTGATTAGTTCTTATTGACCTTAAATTTGTCATTGTTTGTGCTGATGATGTCGTTCAGAAAAACGGTGAAAGCTGTACGACCAAACCATCCACCTCAAAAAACAAAACTCCATCAAAATCATCCACCTGAGCTACACATCTCCACCATCTCAAAATGACTATTTTAGAATCAATGTAGAAATTATCTTTTTCCGAAAGTTTAAACTCAGGTCTTTTATCACAGTATTATTGCAATATTATTACATAATAATTTTTACTAATGTGATTATATCCGTAAACCGCCAACCATATTGTATTAATTTTCATATATTTTATACATCGTTATATTCAACTTTTATTTGCATTATCTTTAATAGGATACATTGAGACAATATTGTGAAAGCCTTTGGTACTCTGGATTAGAATACAAACGTCCGACTCATGAAGAAATTGTAAGTGTTAAATTACATTAATAATCGCTACTTTGTACATCAGTTATTATAGTTGATATTCATTTAAGAATCTTATTTATTCTAGCATCAATAAGCCTTAACGATAATAGGTAGTTATCCTTAATGCAAACGAGACTATTCAGCAAAACATCGAATAAAAAGCCAAATCCATATGTTCTAATAAAAAGCAAACACATGTAGTTGATAATACTTTGTTCTGTATTTTTATTGTTTATATCAATGTAGTACTTCGAAAGTTGACTGATTGTTAATGGTTCGAAGTTATATATAAAATCTACTCCAGTGATTTAACTAAATGTTGAATTATCTACAATGAACTCATTTAATCATATGATAAACACACTGATAATAGGATAAAGGTTTATCATTTATTCTGAATGCCTTTTCATATTTACGAATATCGGTAGAAAAAATTATTACCCAATAGATTATTGTTTCTTATTCGAATATTTATGGATGGTTAGAATTTATAAATTCTGCTAATTAATCTAAAATTCTGTTCGAAGAGTTACCATTTAATATTGATTTCATGTTGAATTTATTTATATCTATGCTCTGATTCTTTTATTCATCATTAATGTAGCTTTAAGTTTATACAAAGTAAATTGAATGATCAATGTTGATATTTAACCAGGTCTGTTGTGAGATATCAGCTCACTGAAGGCAATAGTGTACGGTGGCGCGATTTCGTGGATTAGTTGAAGTTAGACATTAACACCGTTTGGTGCCAGCTCAGTGGTTTAGTGGTTAAGCGTTCGTGCGCGAGACTGATAGGTCATGGGTTCGAAACTCGCGGGGGCGGGATCGTAACTACGCACTGCTGACGAGTCCCATTTTAGGATGAAACGGTCGTCCAGTGCTTCCAGGTTTTCCATGGTGGTCTAGCTTCAAATGACTTATGATTTCAACTATTGAAATTGCTAAAATCTCTACAAAACTCCTTAATATTTAACAGTTAAATGATACTAACTCAAAATGGTGTCTAATTCTGGTTAAAATTTTAAAAAAAGCAATTGTCAAGTTATGTAACTAAATCACTTTAAAAAAAGCACGTTAATGGTCAACTACATATCAATTTACACAGATATACACTTCATATAGTAGTGATGTATGCTGATGTGTTTAAAAATCACCAGTTGATTCATATAAATGTTCTGCATTGGTTTTTACTGTTGTTTAATGTTTACTGTCAACAAATAAATGTACTATATTGTTCAATGATAATTGATCACTTGATAAAGTATATTTAAATTGGATTTGATAAGACAAGATTCTAGATATCAAGTGTTAGAGATTCTATAAATCCATTTTCATTCAAACAGTATGTAACCATGTAAACAATATATTAAATGTGAATTGTAAATTCATGAGCAATGAACTGTATTACGATTTCAATCGATTATTCATTAACCAACCGATGTAAATTAATAGTTTAAAGTATCATTTTAATGAATTCAACTGATTATTTGATGTGGACATTACAAGTTCTTTTTAAATATAACAAATACCATTCCTAAATGAAATGATTAATAAACATGCCAGATATGACCAGATGATATTATGCATTATTTTTCTAATACATTGAATCTTTTAAATAAACATGACATTATAAGCAAAGATGGATGGTGGCTAGCAGTTGAATTCAGGACGCACGTTTCGCCCTAGTTGGGACTCTTCAGCTGTATGTACCTGTTAGCCATCATCCATACTTGCTTATAAAGCTTGTGACTTGAAGCAATATTAAGACAATCCTCAAAGGATGCGCATATGCTAACAAGAGACTGATCAACTGGAGTTCTAAACAACAATGGGAAGACACAAGCAAAACAATGCCAAATGAATTCAAATATGACACTACTTTGTAATCTTTCAAAATGATGATGGTTGAAATATTTTAATGTTAACTTTTCCCCAGATTCATAAGTTGTCAGAGTAAAAGGCTATGACATTTATCAAAAGTGGATGTACTTCGACAACAGTGAAGTCATCTTGATTATTTTACGATTTGCAGTATGTTTAAATGTAGTCAGCTTGTGATGGAAATTTAGTTTCCATAACTGTACACTTGTGAATAGATAGTGAACAGCATTTACAGTTTCAGAGGTCAACCCTTTAAAATAGGGTTCATTATTTGATGAGATGATGTACAACTCGACATTTACATATGATTTTTGCATGGTAGAATGTATTTTAATTATTGGGAAACACTAACAAAATCATTAGAATCCTTGTTCACTGACACATTTAAAGATATAATGTGGACTTGGACGTGTAGATTTTTAGCATTTTGTCTATTTATATTTAGCCTTGATGAAACTAGTATTTCAGTGGCAACTTAACCTGTATTATCTAATGTTTATTCTGGAGACGTCCCCCTGACGTATTCTGATAACTAGTTAGTATACAACAACTACACGTTTCTCCGATATTACTCAAAGTTGATTACTTGGTTCAAGATTCATAAAATGTGTGACTATTTGATGTTGCTTAACTTCATGAATTTCATGATGAAAATATTCATAATACTATTCAACTTTCAAACCATTCACTTAGATTTAGATAAAAATCGTCACCACTCATGATAGCTTTGTATAGTAGTCTGTAAAGATAAAAGCACAATCAATGACATCACAACTTTGAGTTTTTTTTATCATCAATGGCCAAATGTTACCTTTGTAAGGTGCTTGGAAATGTTTTGAGTACTTGTTATACCATAAGGGGTTTTGTGGATATCATAGTAATTTCACCAGTTGGGATCATGAGTCAATTGAAGCTAGACCACCGTGGAAAACCTGGAAAACCTGAAACCGGATGGTCGTTTCGTCCTATTGTGGGACTCTTCAGCAGTGCGCATCCGTGATCCCGCCTCGCAAGATTACAACCCATGACCTATCAGTCTAGCGCATGAACGATTAACTTCTAGACCACTGAGCCGGCATCTAACGGTGTTAATGTCCAACATTTTATAACAAAGATCATTTCAAAAGGCATAGAAGATGTTATAAAAAGAAAGGTTTTTATGGTAAAACATAATCTAATTCGGTAAAAGTCAGTCACTTGTTAATATCTTTTTGAAATATACGTAATTTACAAGTATGTAAAAAGTAATTTGACTATGATATCGACCATATTAAGAGCGATAACGGGGCTTTGTCAACAACATTACAAGTTGATTACATCATACTATAGACAGCCGATTACTGACTATTAGATTTCGGTATGACAGTTCCCTGTTATTGGCTATTCTGTTACAAAATTTATAAGTTTCGTATCTTATTAAGTGAAATGAAAGGTTTCATGAGTTAAAAATTAAAAAATATTGGAACTTTTATTCAATGAAACACTTTTGGGTGATTACATTACATAACTACTGATTATGGTATCACCTGTAGTATTACTGTTTCCATTTCTTTTTGCTTGGTTTAATAAATTTTAGTTAGCCAAATGTGGAATACTCTTCTATGGGAAACCAATACCAGTAAATATTCTTTATGCATTTTACTATCAACTGGAAAATTTATTCGCCATGAGTAAAGTGAGTTCAGAGTCTGGTCAATTATAATACAAGAAAACATTATACTGTTTTTTTCAACAGATATCAATTTACTTTGTAGTGGTTTATTGGGTTATTTCATTGTTGGTATTTTGGAGTGAATTTTGATTAGTCTTAATTATCATATAGTGGATCTTTGTGAATTTGTTTAATGTAGCCATTAGACCACAAGAATTTTTATCATAAATGAAATATAGGAAGGAGTGAAATACGGAACTCCTATGTTGTTTCAATTGGGACTCGTCATCTGGTTATGTTTGAATTTCAGAGTAAACGTCTCCATGATTCGAACTCAGTACGTTTCGCATCAAGCTGCAAATGTATTATCCACCGAGACTTATCAAAATTTAGTAAGAAATGTTAAAGTTGGATAGTTCAAAAGACCTACTAAAACTTCATTAAAAACTCATACTCATTTCAAAAGTAAATAGGTATCTGGATTCAGTAGTTCAGTGGATAACACTGGTTGTTTGAAGCAAAAGGTCCCGTGTTTAAGTCCCGGAATGAGAATCAACTTAGATACAAATAAATCTGCCCGGTATTAATGGTCTGATAGTAGAGCATTTTTTCGATGAAATAACAATTAACTTTATTCTTAGGTAAGTGATACCAATAAAATGCATTTGTCTCAAAGTGTCACTTCTTAGTTTCTAGTGAGTAATGAATGGATAGTTTGAGATTAAATAGTAGAGGTATCTGTATCAAACAGTAAAAAACAATCTTTGAGGAAATCGATGGATTTTGTATTGCTTTGTGACGATTGTTATTTTTACTTGATCGATAAAAATGGAAACATTCATAAAAGTATTGGTGCTTACTAGTTTACATTTCATTTATGTCATTATAAAGTATATTTTTCGCAATGGTTTTCTTAAATCAATGGTAAAATAAATCATGGTTTAATTTAATTGTTATGTACTGATTAATACATTCGGTGTTCATATTCATTTACAAGTAAGTTTTTGAAACGACCTAGCACTCATGTTTACATAGAAACTCCCCTACTTTCATGTTATATTGCTCGAATAAAACATGAATTATGATTCAATAAAAATTTAGATGTTCCACTTTTGACTTGGTTTGTCACATAGATGAAAACTTCTCGCTAGAAGCCGTTACTAGGACGTATTAATAATCATATCATCTTGGCTTCGACAGATGTTTTTGTTATACATTCGTTTAGATCGAACAATTATGAATTCTAATTTTTTAGGTGCATGAGATATCATGATAGGCTTACAACCTGTCGTGATAATAAACACTGGAGATCTCAGATTGAAACATTTAACTTATTGGAATTTTCTCCTTTCTGTCCACATTTTGAAAATAACAAAAAATAACTATATAGAGGTTCATGAAGTTAATATACGGTGGATGACAAAAATAGTTGTGATACTTGAATTGATCGTCAACTTTCTCAGTTAAAACGAATTATTACTTATAGTTAACATTTAATCTTGATATTTTATCATCTATTAGATTATACATGTTTTGACTGAGCCAGCCATTTAAAGTCCAAAATTCAAATAAGATTTCTGTCGAATATTGAATAATAATCTAAAGATACATTTTCATATAAACTGACTTCAATGGGAAAACCAAGAAATCAGTGATGCCGATTTATAATGGAACTTAATTTTACATTTGGAAAAGTTTTTACAAATTGAATTATGATGATACGAATCATGATTATTCAACTATAAAAAATATCTTTTATGAATAACCTGTAAACTGTATTTGTGGAAAATTAAGACCTTATTTCAAACGATTATTTTCAAGAAGTGTCGATGTATTTCATGTCATGATCAATGTTCGAGAACTCATAACTCGATAGTTATATGCAATTGTAGAGAAATCTGCCAATTAGATTTCACTTCTATGATGACTAATGGACAAAATATATACCTACATTATTGAGGAAGTTCAGGTTTGAATATCACCAATGTACAATAACTAGTAATGAAAATCTTTTTGATTGAGATCATGAACCGATTGATGTTAGAGCACCACAATTGAAAACCTGGAAGTACTGGACGGCCGTTTCGTCCTATTTTGGGACACCTCAGCAGTGCGCATCCACGATCCCGCTCGCGGGATTCGAACCCAGGGCCTTCGGTCCCGCGCGCGAACGCTTAGCCAACTGAACCACTGAGCCGGACGTTGGGAACTATCACTATTGGATGCCGGCTCAGTGGTCCAGTTGGTTAAGCGTTCGCGCGCGAGACCGAAGGCCCTGGGTTCGAATCCCGCGAGCGGGATCGTGGATGCGCACTGCTGAGGTGTCCCAAAATAGGACGAAACGGCCGTCCAGTACTTCCAGGTTTTCAATTGTGGTGCTCTAACATCAATCGGTTCATGATCTCAATCAAAAACTTAACAATCTCCACAACCCCTATACTAGTAGTAATGAGAAAGTTATTTAATCAGTACCCGAAACATTTAGTAACTAATCCATAAGAATAAACTAGGTTTAGAATAGTAACAAAAGATGGTATAGAGGTAAACCTAGTATTTTAATAATTTGTAGTGAAATAGATCATGGTGTCGTATAATCTATTCATTATCTAGTCCTTTTTTTAATAGACACAGAATCCAATAATATATGAGTGTTAAATCATTGTCATGGTTATTAACTATAGGTAAAAAAAAACAAGGATATCTACAAGAAAAGTATTAATAGATATTTAATCTGCGCCATTTTAAATGATCTTTTTATTATTATTCTTGACTGAAGTTTAATCTGTCGTAATTGACATATGAACACTGTGGGAATCGCGCTGATACATTCACACTGTTACATATTTATCTAGAGTAGATAGAATGTGGCTTGTAACGGGATTCAGACTGTAAAATTTGTCCTATATGATAATTAACCATCATACCCATTGCATAAACTTCTGTCTATTTAGACTTATCAATTCAGTGAATAACTTGTTAAGCATTCAAAATATAAATTATTGAGATTGAGTACTCATATAAACAGCAACACTGGGATATAAGTACATCCATTTAATGAGCTGTAAAACAGACAAAAACATAAGTCCTATATTTCATTACTAAACACATTTCACTTATTCTATTATCATACATTTTTTATCTCTTATGAATTAATTTTAAACAATGTAACTATCATATTTGTGCTAATCAATTAGTAAATTGTATCATTTAAGGACAATAGAAAAACAACTGACCATTAAATAAATAAACAAACTTTCTTTTCACATAAGATATTCTTCTTAAAAGCTTATTGATATATTGAACATTTAACACTCATATATAATAATCATTGGAAATTGAAATGATTCAATAACTTTCTAAATTCTATATTATATTCTTCAACAATCTTTTGTTTTTTTTGACATAGAACTCACTAAAATCCTGAATTTATATTACCTTATATTACACTTTCAAAATGATTAAGGCATTTATAAAATGATACATTTAAACAAGTGTATAATGTGTTACATTGTATATTGTACATAAATGTGACCTTAAAATTGAATAGTTTTATATTATGAATATTTAAACGTTAATTTTATTAACTGTGAATACCAAAAAAGAAAAGAGAAAGAAAAGAAAAAAAAAGAGAGAAATTTGGTGTATTAGGAATTGGATTAAATAGAATAAACTGTCTTTATTAATACGAATGAATAAGAGTCATATTAATTCATAATTATTCTTCTTTTAGTTTTCTTGATGGAATTATTTGAATATCTTCTAAGTTCTTAAATGTGGGAATAATGAATGACTTTTAAAATCTATCATGTTTGTATTATATACTGTATATATATTACTTAGTGTAGAGAGTTAGATCTCATTGTTTTAGTAAACACATTGATATTCAGACAATATACATAAATCACATAAAGAACTATGAAGTCAGTTATGCCGCAGAAACCTCTTGAATTTTATAATGAAAAAAAGCATAACATACAAAAACGTTCAAATATACGGGAGAGCTCCGTATGCTATTAGACATAAGTAATAATTATTACACTTTTGATTACCTAGATGTGATATTTTGATTTATATGCTTTACATCGGAACTATACCTTCTTTTCTATTATATATATATATATATATATATATATATATATATATAAATCATTTAAATTAAGATGTGACATTGGTATAAAGTGTAATGGTATAAACAATAATGAGTTATCGATTTTTACAGTTTTACTTCAAGTGTTTTAACTCTCATAGTTTACATTACGAGTGGGTCTTTGTTAATTATTCATTGGAAACTATGAAGCATTAAATAATCACAGTTCTACTAGGGCTCGAGACTATAATCTAAAGTTTTGCAACGAGTGCTTAACTTTCAAACCAATGATTCTCTATACAATGGTGTACATGATGTGTATAGGGACTGTTGAGGAGCACATACTTAAACGAAACATCTGTTAGTGCCTAGTGGTTTTCAATAGTTATTTAACTAAGATCATATATGTGATGTAAACTAGGGGAATTCAACAATTTCAATTGGTGAGACCAAGAGTCAATTGAAGCTAGACCACCATGGAAAATCTGAAAGCACTGGAAGAACGTTTCGTCATATTGTGGGACTCATCAGCAGTGCGCATCCATGATCCCGCCTCGCGGGATTGACTCATGATCTCAACAATTGAAATGACTAAAATCTCAACTCCAAAAACTTATCTTTTAAGTCTGTTATGAAATCACAAGATCGTATCTCATCTGACGAAACAATTACAATTGGAAATATTTATTCGAAACATTTAACCTCTTTTTCGTTTTCTTATGACCAACACCTATCGTAATGATATTCATCCCTTGCTTTGTCAAGATGTAATCAATTCTTTCATGTATCAACTAATTAGTTTTCTGCTGAATATTTTCACTGTTAATTAAAATTCTATCCATTTTAACAAACTGACAGGAATCATCTACATCACACACATACACATAATTTCTAAAAAGCCATAATTATTGCAAAAACACTTACATAAATGTTAGAACTATTATCTCTAATTTACATATATCTGCTCAGCTGTTATTAACTGTAACAGAACAAGTTTTTTTTTTTTTTTTTTTTTTTTTTTATTATTAATAGCTTTATTCAATATTATATTATTGGTACAATATAGAATTCTCAGCACAAAGTATTTCAACAGTTTCCGTTTCTTTCTTCTTGGTCGGTCCTCGCGATAAATACTGAGTGGTCGCCAGCTGGGTGTTATCAGTCCAGTAAGTGAACATGGGAATGATGTACATTCTTTTCGTTGTACATTGCCAGCAACCATATTCTCTCTTTTTGAGCTTTTTGTAACTTTAATAACGAAAGGTTGTACATTTTTCAGAAACGCAGCAGTATAGGTTGTGCGATTAATAGACATAATGATATATTAAACCAAACAAAGATAGATAACTTGTTGAAATATCTAGATGGCAGGAACAGGTAGCCCAGATGCTCAAGCAGGCCGCCGTTTACGGTTACGACACCAGATACAAACTTATCTCGCCATCTTATTGATTTTCTTCTGACAAGAAATTATATCTAATGTTTTTTACTAGTTCGTTTTAGTTTCTAAACCATTAATATGTTAGATTTAATGTATGCTGTCATTCATAAAATATATATTCATTTCATAAAGCGCCTACTTCAAAAGTGATAATACATTTTGTCATTAAACCCTTCACAGTACAATATAATCCATGTGTTAATCAAGTCATCAAAATGTAACAGAGTTTATATCACTGGTTGAAACCATGAGTCATTTGAAGATAGATCACCATGGAAAATCTGGAAGCACTGGATGGCCGTTTCGTCCTAGTATGGGCTCCTCAACAGTGCGCATCCACGATCACGTTCCCAGCGAGATTCTAACCCAGGGCTTATCATCTGCTCACTAGTGACTGACTTTAAGAGGCATCTCTTGGAGTTCTAGTGAGAAGCTGTTACCAGTGGAGTTCAACCAGGTCTGTTGTGAGATATCAACTCACTGAAGACAATGGTGTACGATGGTGCAATTTCGTGGATTAGTTGAAGTTAGGCATTAACATTGTTGGATACTGGCCGGCTCAGTGGTCTAATGGTTAAGCGCTCGCGCGCGAGATTGATAGGTCCTGTGTTCGAATCTCACGGGGGGCGTGATCGTAGATGAGCACTGCTGAGGATTCCAATACTAGGACGAAACGGCCGTCCAATTCTCCCAAGTTTCCATGGTAGTCTAGCTTCAATTGACTCATGATTTCAATATGTGACATTAGATTAGCTTAACGATATGTGTAAACAGATAACAAAAGTTATTTTATGTCGAAGACGTTAAATAAAATCAAGTTTGTATTAAAGTATTTTGTTGTATAACTTCATAACAATGCTAATTACTAGTTATTATTAGTTTTGCACATATATATTTTTCTTGTTTGTATGTTCTGATTAGTTAACAGTATTCCCATACTGTTTTTAATCTAATCGTTCAATATTACTAACAAAACAACTTTGTATTTGTATTATGCGTTTGTACGATCTTGATAAACATTAAACAAATTAAACCTAACCATAGTCAACAGAGATTGAAAAGATTTCCTTTCAAAGGATAACTTTGTTATCTACTTTAAATTAATAAACATTATAGTTTATTAAGATGTTTTTTCCATAAACAAAGTCAAACCTGTCCATTGAAAAAATGTAGAACATTCAATTACTGGCAGATATCAAATAAAAACGGCGAGACTATAATTTATGAACGACCTTTGGACGAATCCTAAGTGAAATTGATAAAAATTATTCAATTAGCTAACAGTAAGTAAAGGGTACAAATATATTACACAAAACCAAAGAAATAAAGTGGATACACTTCTTATACGTGATTCGAAAACTTTTCAACTTTAGAAAAATGTTCAGAGGTTCTAAAATCGTAATGCATGCAGTAGAGGAAATCATCCATATGGCTAAAGAATAGTTGGCCTCTGGATCCATGATAAAGTCTCAAAACCTTTCAGCCTCGACCACATAGTTTCAATATATTGCTTGTGTGCACTCCGGTTGTTGAGTACACAAAATACCGCTTGTGGATAACCACACGATGCACAGAAACAAACCTATATAGGAGTCTGTTGGCTCTCCAATCATCCGTATATATTGTAATACCTGACTGCAACCAGTGTTACTGGTGCTTTTATTATCCAGTTCGCAATAATTTTCATAATTCGCCTTAGTTAGGAATTATATATAGGGTTTTCATCACGAACTGAAATCAGCTATAATGCCAAAAATCTATTTAGCCAAATGGATGGTAGGCTTTCGCGCCAAAATCCGAGACCTGTTAAGTTATACCTGATTGATTCGTCCACAAATTATAGTTTATTTGTTACAGCCCTTCAATTATCACGTTTTGTACCGAATTCCCTGGGAACCGACCGTACGTTAGCATGAAGCAGTGAACTTTGCACCATAACCTTGAAATCTCTCAAACACTTCTGATTGTCTCGTTCATAAATTAGAGTCTCGCCATAAAAAACGTTTGGTTTGAAAACTACCATAATCAATTTTTAAAAAATACACAACTGAGTATTCCCATTACTCTGTACTTAATTTTGTTTTAAATTTCTATTCAGACAATCCATGAATGTTTGTTCTCGTTTTTTTTTTGTTGTTTTAATGAATTAAAACTTCTGGTAATTTTCAATATTCACTGTTAGTGTCAAATATCATTTATCAAATTACAGGTTTAATTTTAATGTGCTTTTTCTATTATGTATATTTCAATGTTTCATTTGTGATTATTGATTTCATAAATTATTTACTAAAATGTTAAACATACTAAACATTGATAAAATGAATATGAGACTAAAACCAAAGTTCATCTCATCTTAATATAATTACAAACATAAATATCTAGAAACATCTATGTGTTACTTTAAATGGTACATTTAATAGTAAGATGAAAAAGTAACTTACTCATTTTTTTGAGTTTGAAGTCACTACTCTAGAATATATTTCAGTCATATGTGTTTTGACTGCATAACAATGCTAGAGACTGCCTACATTGATAATGTAGACTTATATATGAATTGAGTAGGTGAATCTTTTGACTCGCTCTTACTGTAGTTTACTAACATCTACCAGATTGTGTAAAGTTCACGGTGGGTCATTTTGTTCAGAATTATATTCCATTTTGAAGAAGAGGATGTTCTCAAGAGAATTATGATATGTCACTATAAATACTGCTGTCTAATATTCAGTATACTGAGGTTTAAGTCTAGATATAGTTTCTGAAGAAAGCATGGATAGAATAAAATAAGTTTATTTTATTGCATAGCGTCTTGTATACGCTATACAAACCAACTAATTTCATCTAAATTATTAGCGGTATTCAGTGAATCAATAAACAAAGTTTGACTCCGAACAAATTTCAAAACTCATTGTACAATAATAAACGGCAAGTATACATTTTTAAGTTACATATAATGATCTATCCATAAAACTATTTACATTTAATGGTTTATTCGATGTTTGTTTCTGATCATTACATTTTAGGTAATTCATTCCATTCGCACAGTTATGGATTGGCTAGATGCAACAGAAAATCATGCCTCAAGAATATTATCAATATATGAAATGAATTCACAATTAAATGTAAGTTCACATCTATTGACAATAATACATAAATTCTTTGAATGTTGATTTGATTTACTAAAAAGTACATACTAACAGAATACATTGATAGGACAGTTTCATTTATAAAGTTGTTGTAACTTGTGAGCCTGTGTGCCCTGTTTATTGTCTAACGCAACGATATCGCCGATCAGAGAGCAGTGAATTATCAATCGAACCAGTGACACATAAAACACGTGAGAGCAGCCTAGAATCCTGATTGATCTCGCCTCCTGTCTAGCCCAGCCAGTTAAGCCCAGAATACCAATCTCAGCTTCTGCAATATGAATCATCTATTCCAAACATACTCGGTTTATATACCAATCAAACAGACAACAACCTACCATAAAATAGAAAATAACATTTGTACAATATTTGGTCAAAAGTGGTTGTGAATGAGGGAGATAGTAATTAACAGACAGGCCATAACTCAAGAATGGTAAATCGTATAGTAATAGTCTATGAGTCAAATTAAAACTGATAATAAGAGCGACATGAATATGAACAGTTTAGTTACATAACAATTATACGATAAAAATATACTCATAGTATTGGTCCATAAATGGATCTCAAAAACTACCATTCATTATTCTTATCGGGATATAACAGAAGTTGTAATATTTAGCAATATATCTGAAAACTTATTAAACTGAAATAATTTCGATAATGTAATATGAAGACGAAGATTATCAGACCTATGTGGTGATATATTAGCGCAATACATTTCGAACAATTTGATCACACCTAATACACTTGTTAAGAACATTTATATATAAAAATAAAAGGTCAACTAGACTAGTTCTGATAATCTTCATCTTCTTATTACATTATTAAAATTTATCAAAAGGATTAATTGCTTTGAAATAATGTCATCTATTTGAAATTTTTTGAGGATAATTATGTTACGTAATAGTTCAATATTTTCTGAAACTTAAGTGAGCAACTTCTCGGGGACAACTATTTAAAACCTTTCGAGTAATGATATAACATTGCCAATTCCCTTCATTTCTTTCCGAATGCATTTTTGTTTATTCCATTAGATTCTTTTAGATTGTCAACAGTTGTTGTGTAGTTTGTTAACTTGAACCGATACATAAATTAGGCAAGTTCAAACAACCTAAATTGAATAATTTTAATTGTCTAGATGTCTCCTCGATATATACAACACAAAAAGTGAATTCATCGAATAATTAGATGTTTACTTTCACCGATGTTTAGTTCATTCTTTCATGATCAGACAAAAATAATCTTTTTGTGTCCTTTCATTGACTCCAATATACTTGAACAATGATGATGCTATTAAAATGTATAATCTGTTTAACTTTATATACCTTCTATCGGTTATTCATTGTTGGCCCCTATTTTATATCCACTGTTTGCTACTTTCTTTACAAAGTCTTTACAGTCAATTGTTTTTCTACTGAACTTGAAAATAATTCATTTTAATGGTATTTGTTTAGATAAGCATGCTTAGATCTAGTAATTGTCTTTTTTTGTTAGTACAGATATTTTTAGAACTGCATTGAATTACTAAAGATAGTCTTATGTATAAATGTCACACGTTAAATAATCTCAGTGATTGACATCTGGATAATTTCACCGTTTCGTCCAGCAATCTTGTTTATACTGCTTCAAAGCAATTAAAACTAAAATAATCAGATAATAAAGGATGTTCGACAATAAAATCTATACTAAAAGCCTACCTAGCTATATTTATATACTCTGGTCATTTTGATTTTAATTATGAGTTTGAAGAAGTCTAGACACGTTTGTTGGACGAAACGTTGGAATCGCACAAATAATGTCTTCTATATAATTGGTGTATAATTATTGTCAAATTAATCGTTCAAATATTGTTGAAGATAATATCGTTCGGGTTATTCGTTCGACTGTGTTTATAAAAATTGTCAGCACTTGACGACCAAACATAGTTCTTACAAACTTCATTTTTATAACATATAATTGAAGTTCCAAACTCACTATGACCTAATGCTATACGATTTTCAATACGTCATTATTATTATATTTGTAAGGATTTTTTCACATAAATACATATTATGTTTTATTATTTCTTAGAACAGCATTTTGAAGAAACATTGGCAGATCATTTAAAAGCACTGAAGTTATGTGATCGTTTATTGGATAATCTCGGTTCAATTTATCACCGTGTACGTCCTTTAAAAAAAGGACAAACTATTCTAGCTAGAGCTTTAACAGATTTCGAATCAAAACAGGTAATTTTATGCATATTTTTTATTAATTTTAAAGGCAAGTTGAATATTTAATATGAGTAATCTTATTTCAAGTCAACTTAAATATTAAAAACTAATACAAACGGCATTTCACTGAAGGAACCCCTTTTCCTCTGGTTCACTAAAATCATAAAGTTAAGGAACAGCATACTTGTGTTTGGGAATTTCATGACTCAGTATTCAAAACTCAACCAAATAATTCTGTCTGAGAAGCACATTATAGAACAGAGGGCTTATGTTGTTATATAATATTTAAATTATTATAATTGTCAGCCTGTAACATACAGATGATATGCTTGAATGTTATTACGAATTCACCTTACTCGGTAAACGGAACGAAGGTCAATGATACAGATCCGTTGTCCTCGGCCCTGCTAACTAGATCAAGAAGTCTTGATGAGGCGTAGAGAATGTATTCTATAAGCACTCAGAAAATACGAGGTCACTAAACACATAAACCATGCTTATTTATACAATGATAGAAACGCCCTTGGAAGAGCCACAAAATAACGTACTAAAAAATTCGTCAACCAATGACAGTCAAGGATTTCCGAGTGGGAAATGTAAGCTGTAGGTCAACTAAGCGTCTTTTGGCGCGAAAGCATAACATTCAAATTTTCAGGATGAAACTTAAAAATTAGGACCTTTTCCAAGTGAGTTCTGGGGATCTAACGTCCTCAGCAACAGATATTCTGATTGATGTTGAAATAAGACTAGAATTTGATTCAAAACTCACACTTTACTGTCAGTTTTTCTATTTGGCTATCCAATGAGTTTGAATAACATTTTAGTCAACGATTATTGTTACACCTGACAGTGACATTTTCACGTTTTCAATCAGTTACCTAACCAGGTTTTACAAAATCAACACAAATAGAGTTAGTTAAAATGAGTGAGTGATGGAACATCAGGAAAACTCTGTAAGTAATCTCTGTATACATAGGTCAATATAGTAACCGCAACTATTACGAAAGGAAGGAACGAATCACTCATTATTATCTATTCCAGATAATTTCAAGTGCTTGTGACAGAAATGCCCTGATTGGTTAGCTGTATACTTTCCATTCAAACGAACCTTGGTTACAGCACTTAGTGGCTCATGAATAAACGTAATTGAATAAGAAGCAATTAAGTCGAACAACCTTATTTATCATTATTGATGGATTTATTCAGTATTATATTTTCGGTACAATATAGAATTCTCAGAACATCATATTATAACTCACGTTTTACTAAAACTCTTATCAACATTCTAAAGTTCTGTTTCAGTCAATCGAGCGTACATACATAAATTATTCACATGATCATCGGTCATCAAACTCATAAACATACGTCTATTCATCCAATATGAGATGATAATCGAACTACACAAGTGAACTAATCAAAATTATGATCACTATCATCAGAACTGGTATATTACAGTGGTAATTCGATACCGGATGGAAAATCATTTAACTGTATTCTATTCATTTCGCCTTTGATTTATTGAACAGTCATAAATATGAATAACTCATAAAGAAAAATGCCTTTGTTTAAGATAACTATGGCTAAAATACACTTGAAGTACAAATTTATGTTTCATTGAAACATTGAATTTAATAAATTTTAGTTAATTAAAAACATAAGAGTGTACTTGAGAATTACTTCATGAATGTTTTAACATCAAAATAAACAATCTTCATTCATACGAACACAAAACTTATTTTAAGAATCAGAAGGAGTTTTGTGGAGATTGTAGTAATTTCAACAATTGAGATCATGAGTCATTTGAAACAAGACCACCATGGAGAACCTGGAAGCAATGGACGGCCGTTTCGTCCTATTGTGGGACTCCTCAGCAGTGCGCATGCACGACCCCGCCTCGCGGGATTTGAACCCAGGACCCATCAGTCTCTCTCCAGGCGCTTAACCATTAGACCACTGAGCCGGCATCCAATGGTGTTAACGTCTAACTTCAACTAATCCACAAAATTGAGCGACACATCCACCATTATCATCAGTGAGTTATTACCTCACAACTGACCCGGTTGAACATTTCACAATAAGTAATGTATTGTGTTGTGTAATTAAGTACACCATATCATATATGACAAGTGAATTCATGTGATTATTTCATCTGTCAATTCTAATGCTCATTTACAGTCGTCGAGGGAGAGAGGGAAAGTGAGAAAGATAAATTTTACAAGAATGTAAGAATGCATGCATCTGAAAATTTTGTTCTAGCAAAATGCAGTATATTTATAGAAAGTGTAATTTTTAATTATTATTATTATTATTATTATTATTATTATTATTATTATGCAATAACCAAATGAAAGTCTACATGTTCATCTTCGAGCTATCTATGTATTGGATGTGATATCTATTGATACTACCAAATAACACGGAATGAAGTTCAGCCATATTACCTAGTAGGGTTAAATAAAATAAAATCTAGGGATCACTGAAGATCTGTTACGTCTATCTGCACCATTATATACCTAAAATGATATGTGTAATAAAACCAAGGATTTTTTAATCAAGACTAATGAGAACTGTCTTTAGACCGCTCACTAGCATATTCCTTAAATGAACATATTAAAGTTATTAACGTCTGACACAGATGTCTCGAAGTATACTCATCCAATCACTTTCATTTAGAATAATAGAACAAGTTATAGTACATAAAATAAGAGAATGACATTTTAATTACATAAAGAAAGTTGTTTAAACTTTTGTAAAACTTTATTATACCCCCTAAACTAGGTCAAAATGAAATACAATTTACTAACGATCATTGACATTAGTCATTTACTTATTAATATACAACTGATGTATGTCTTTTTTTAATAAATTCTCTTTTCTTTATACAGATGAAATGCAAGCTACATATGAATCACTTTTATAGGATCACATCCAACCAAAATCCTCATGCATGGCAGGTAAAATTATGCATTCATATGCAACGATATTTATACATTAGTTTGTCCCTAATATTACACTTTACAAAACATGTTAAGATGACATGGAATCAGATACTAATTGTGATTTGATTGGCCTAACTTATTTTTATTGATGCCATTAGTTTTGTTTCTGTCAGATTAATGAAATGAAGTTTTTTAATGTAAGTATATATGTCAGCCGAAAACTCAGTTCCTATGGTCTTTGTCGATTTGTTAATGGGACAATCTCTTCTGATTAAAGAGAATATGATTAGTTGTTAGGTTGGAAGGTTTCTAGCAGGATTTGCAAGTCACTATTTATTTTGTGACTGATTAGAGTGAGGCGGTTTGCTAGGAATTACTTAGAATAAATTTATTGATGATTTACAGCCTAGAAATGAAAATCTGTCAAAAGATAATATAATCGGTGCATAATTGCCTAATAACCGAAGCAGTAATTTTAATAGGGTAAGGCTTTAATCAAAAACTTGGAAAGCTTCAAGATACCACAGCACTTATTAATTAGGCTAGACAATGATGACCATTGGTATTTTGACTAAGTACTCAAGTTGTGTAGGGTCTACTGTAAAGCTTAAAGGACTTGGTCACAATTTTCTGTGAGCTTGTGATCGTACAGTGCTATAGTGTAACGAGTGAACACTACGCACGTCTTGAATTCTTTCCTGTTTGAAATAGTAGTACAGGTGATATCAGTCTCTGATGATTTATATAAAATGTTTACCATTATCCCTGTCGCTTAACTGCACTTCACAGAAAATTCAACTTCTTTTAGATACTACTTTTAGTAAATAAATAAATAATATTAAAAGAGAACTCAAAATGTTCTCTAGGTTATTATTTATGACTGTGCAATCTTTATTTAAATGTTCTCATAGCACAAAATAAAATAGGCGGTTAGTATATACGAGGGCGATTGGTGAGCATGAATGCTAAGAGGAATGTAGGTATACTGAGATTTAAGTTGAAATTACTACGGTTGTGTGTACTACTCATATTTGCAGATATGTAGTATGCACATCAGTCGTAGGTGGAATGTCTGCAAGCAGAAAGTTGAGAAGATTTAGATGAATAGAAAAGAGAAGGAAACTGAAAACACCCATGATAACAACAGGAATGAACTAACATTGAAGCTTGTAAGAGACAATCTAAGAAGATGTGCTAATGATGTATTTGATATATGATTTTCACATGTTATTAAACTACTGTGTGATTGTGCATTAAACAATAAATTAACCTTCCACATATGAATGTTCGTTCACTATGCAACCAGACAGGTCTTTGTAATTGAGTCAACCGTTGCTACTAGAATACAAAGAAAATGTCTCTGATCATACGAGCTCAGCTTCATCTACTTTTATTTACAATGTACTTCTAAAATTATAGAAGTCGATAACCATTGGTTTAACCGTTAAAGTTTCAGAATTATGCCCAATACAATTATTTTAATGTTTCATTTTTTATGTACAAAGATAAGTAATCCCGGACATGCAATTCCATCACTATTCCTCGATGTTTCTACTGAGTTTGGTGAAAAACTAATTCTCAAACAGTAAGTTATAAATCTGAAATTATCTGTCATCAAATAGATATCCTATAAAATTGTCCCAAAGAGTTTTGATTGTAACATCAGTAATCGTAGAGCTGAATGTATGAAACTTTAGATCAAGAGTTATCAAGTGGGAAAGACTGGCATTTCCTCTTTGTTGCCTTGTTAAATTACATAGAGAAAATTCTTAGAACATTTCCCAACAATTCGACTCACTAAACACCAAACATTACAATTCAAAACATTCATACATCAAAGCATAGACCATATATTACAGTTTAACTTAGTAATACTAATGACTGGTACTAAAGTGAATGTCAACTGTCGATTTTTAAATATCTTTTTACTATTTGACTTGTTTAAACTACTAATTTCTAAATTAAAAACATCATTTAGGCTTAGGTGTTCAACGGTGCATTTAATTATTGAGGATTTAAATGAATGTATCACAAAATATAAAAAGAGGCAAATAATTCTTTATTTGTTGAGTTGTTATGTCCTATAAAGAATCATTTAAGGGTATTTGGGTAAAAAATAAAGAATCGCTAAATTCTCTCTTGTAGATCAATGAAGTTCTGCTGAGTAGGACATTTTTTAAAACTTTTTGAGTGAAATGTTATATGAGTGTTAAACATTCAAATTAAGTATAAAATAACACGCAGAGTGATAACTGAGTTGTAAACATCGTAGTATAAGCAACTCTACCATTTGAACAATACATCATGGACATTATGACTCAGTAACTCAATATTATGATGTAATTTCTGTTTTAATGACAAATAACTCATAATGGTTGTAACAAGGTGATGGTAGCATGTTATGATAACAAAACAGCAAGTTTCCCACATATTAATATAAATTACATTGATGGGTTTGAAACTAATGGCCTTCCAATATACTTATGTTGAAATCTATTCTATTTTAAAAGCAATAAAATGAGAAATTGGTTCTTCTTTAAATAATATAAAGATCCTAGAACTTATATTTTTTGTAGTTTACCTTAAGAACACGTAACTAGAATGTTCACATAGTAATATGTGGTTGCAGTTGTCATTTCGTGACGGTTTGGTTTTGTCTGTGGTACTCAAAAGTTGATATTTTTCTTCACATCAACTTAGTATTTTTGCCATTACTCATAAACAAATAAAAATAAACTACTGACCTCCCTTTCGAAGAAAATGATATCACTTTTGGACTTTTTTCATAAAACTTGCTTTTCCTAAGAATATTACATTCATAAAAGAAATATGGCTAGTTTGGTAAATGTTGAAGCTACTATAGTTAAATATAAAATACTCAATTATTTTATAGAAGTAGAAACCTATACAGTCATTTCTTCATATCCATATTTTAGACCTATCACTACTTATCAATAGCTCATTTATTTTCCAATCGTTTGAATCGCATATTGATTACTCAATGTTTATTTTAGAACAGCGACAAGTAATTCAACCCTCTTAATTATTTATTTAACAGACTTCAAAAACGATTTGAAGAATTTCTAATCATGTGTCATGGTCGTGCTCGTCGTCAACTATTCTCACGTATTACAAAATTATTACATAATTCTAAACGTGTAAGAAATAAAACATTTTTTAAGATTAAATTCATGATTTTTAATTTGAGACAATACGATCAACACTATACTCATTCATAAAGTAAATAAGTGATATTTTGGATAAAAGTTAAGCCTAATAATTAAGTCTTAGTTTCATCAGCACTCGAGTATCTTCAACGTTCAGTATTTTCTAATTTATTTTTATCTTCCAATTGACTTCCAATTATAATTATTCTTGTGTTGAATATTTTATTACTTTGGCTAGTGATGTTGTCTTTGATCTCAGTTAATCCAAGGATTCATGCCTATGATTGAGTCTCATGATCATTCATCATTCGATCACATAGTACTATTTAGTTTATCTATTATATGTCATTCTGTGCATTTACTTTAACATTCCGAAACCCGTTCACCATAATCGTGATTGTTTAAACCCCTTTATAATAAAAATCTTGACAAGGTGTCAAGAGAATAGGGGTGATAGTTCGAATTTTAAATTTCTCTACCACATGAGAGCTACTTCTGTAATTGATTCTGGTGTTTGGTTCTTAACCCTAGACTACAATCCCAGTTGAATTAATCAAAAGGACATTTTCAAGGCCAATCACACCCAGAAAGGTTTACTTAGCTCATTGAAAAACATAAACAATTAACAAACTTTGTAATGAAAGTGATATGTAATCTTGTATTTCCATCCTCTGCTTAATTAATGAAAGGAAAATTCTGAAACACTATTATTGTGTATTCAGTCATCTGGAATATAGTAATTAAGTTTGTAAGTTAAACTACTCACCTAAAATATTTGAGTGTCTTGTTAGTCGAGCATAATTCTAGGTGGCATTACAAATAAGACAGATAACTGTCGAGCATATGTGTTGATTAATAATGATGATAATACTTATATTTGAAAAACGATTAGTTAAGTCCTTCTAATTAAGCTTTGTAATGAATTGGCACGTAAGGCTACATCTGCTATTTGCACCCAAGCTTAATTGTGTTTGGTACATATATTGCGAAACTACTTATAAGGTGAGACTAGTGATAAATTCTGAATAGGCACGGATGTGTTGATTGCTTAAACACAGTCATACACACTGGAGATGTCTTGTGTGATGAATGTCTTCCTGTCAGTCGTATACACGAAGTCAATTCCGACAAAGATTACAACTCTAAAAATCAGTAAAGAACGGATGTTCCTTATCTGATTTTCCATCGAACGATGGAATAATCGGCTCCACTCATCAATAACGATTTATTTATACGTGATTTTGATAAAAAGATCATGTTGTCACTACATATAACTCCCAATAACTGGACATGAACGATGGGTTTAGATACACAGCCAATACCTTGCCCATACTACTAGATACTTAATATTTTAAGAAACAGACATTTGTGATTGTGATAATGTTGTTAGTCGCTCTGATATTCCTTCCATTTTTCACAAGCATTTCAAATAAAAACCATTCAATTTAGGATGTGTATCATTGATAATAGACAGTTTCATTCTCATAAACTGTTAATTGCTTAATAAACTTTTCTCCTGCTGGATATCTGATACCCACAAGCATCTCAATCTAACTGGAAATGAAATACTCTCAAAAAAAAACACTCAAATTGTGATAATTTGCATTAAATAATCAAAATTATCCATCCGAGTCAGCTAAATATGGCAGCTTTCACTAGAAAATTAAGAACAACAAACTATTTTAATTAGTTCAGGTTAGGACTAAACGATTTATCCCTAAAATTTAATTAGTAAATAAAAGAAAACAATGCTGAAAACAAATTTCTATCTCCATACATAAGTATCTTCTGCGATTAAACCGCACTTTTTACTTGTTCAGTGTTATTGTGATAGCTTAGTTAGATTTATTTGGAACCTAATTTGAAAGACATTGTAAATCCACAATTAAATATAATTGGGATGAGTAAAATTGACATCATACTTCTACATGGATTTTAGGAACAAGCCGTATGTCTTTTTGTGTTTCTCATTGTTAAGATACTTAAAGATAAAATTGATGGTGAGAAACTACAATCTTTGAATTCAACCAACTTAGAAATGATGTGGAAGCTCACTGCTGAAACTGAGTGAAGATACTGTGCTTCCTGAGGTGTGAGATAGAGAGAAACAACTGTGTAAAACTTAGTAACATAATTATGTTGTAAACATCAATTTTACTAATTAGCATTCTTTTCTAACTCTTTCCATAATACATAGTATTCAACACTTCCTGCAATGTTTAAACCAAGCGATTCTCCCGTTTCTTCAAGCGCTCTCTGTGGCTTATACTTTCCACGTTCACCTGATCCAGCTAAACGATGGCGCCCTTCAAACAATGCTAAAATATTTTCTCGTCAACCAGCCTATTTGGATTATGAAAGTCCTCAAGAAGCATTACTACCTCATACAATCCGAATATTATTGACTCGGCTAAGAAACTGGTTACATCAGTTACCTCCCCCTGGTGTGATTATGGACAGTTCAAAGTTGTCAACATTTAATTCAAATAAATGCCAGCAAAATAGCTTTAATTTAATCCAAGGAAGTAATGTAGTCAATGAACTGCGTAAATGGTGGAAGTTCACTCATAAAACAGGTAATAAGAGTAGTACAATTTCGAATAATAAAGTCTTCAAATATAACTATTGCTAAGAAGTTATTGACATTTGATGTTTGAATACCACAGTATCATACTAATCTATCTCGTTTTATCAGCTTAGATCAATAGGACTAAACATAATGGTCGATTCCTTCAAATGATATAAGAATGTAAAAATTAAAAGATATATCAGTTAAAATCTTTTCCGCAGCGACTTTAGATCATTAGTAAAATTCTCTTCTTAGAAATCAAACGAGTTTTAGTGAAAAACTGAGTCACAATATTTAACTTCCAGTGATTAGGTTTCGCTTCATTCATTTGGAGATAGTTTACTGCTTCTGTGAAAGCAGTTGATACTTGATAAGATGACGTCGTTTAATAATATCAGAATATAAATCTGCATTTATTGAACCTTTTTTTTAACAAACCTATGTGACATATATCACTGTAGTAAATGACGTCCGATTTTTCAAGGTCTTCGGAAACTATCCAAAGTATCATCAGTTCTTTGATTTATTTAGAGTTTGAAAAACAGATCAACTCATTGATTTAAAGTAAAAATCAAACACATTAATCATATGAAAGATTATATTTGTTTGAAAAAATTCTTCATAGTTCAAATCTTACAGCTATTCACTAATCATCTATTTCTGTCTACCTATATGACAGAATAAGCAAGAAAATTGAGCTTGCAAAGACTAATGAAACCTGAGTGAAATCAAAACTCAGTCTCACTTAAACTATTAGGACCCATAGATGCTTTTTTGGAATAGCTCACGCTCACTACATGTTAAAGAGAAACGGTAGTAACATTCAACACCTAATGCATCCAAGGCATTCTACTGGATTTTTGAATTAACTTTGATATGTATAAACAGGAAGTTTATTCTTATGAAAATGGAGCTAAAACTGTCTAGAATAATTTAACTGTTAGCGATAAAGTGGCACTCACATTTTGAGGAGCAGCTAAATCAACATACTTCAAGCAAAAATATAAGAGTACTGACTAATTCGATTTCCAATATTTCCTGTATGCTGAACTGACAAAACGATAATCGATCTCGAAATAAATATATATATTAAAAATGATTTAGTACCAAGTATACTGCAAGATATAATGTCTAAGTAATGTGTCGTGGACTCAGATGTTAGCCATATTCTGATTATAACTAAAAGTCAACATAATGTGGTAGGGTAACTCGAACTGATGTACGTACATACAAAGTTCTACGTTGTTACTGACTGACTGAAAATTCAACATCAAGGTGGTCCGCTAACGGTGTATATGTGTTTAAAGTGATTGATCATTTGCAGTCCTTAACATCTACAACTGAAAAATAAGAACCATTACCAATATCATGATACACAATGTTTACATTTAACAAGAGTATCTGATGAAGCATGTTAGAGTAGACTACAAGTAAACTCAAGGTGTCGTTAACATCAGATATCAACATTATAAAAGAACAAATTTATACTCCTGATTTCGGTTATTTCTTAGCCCTAAAGAAGTAGCTTACATTAAGTCACGAAATGTCAGAAATACAATTTTCTACTAATCGGGATATCACAAGTAGTATATTTGTTATTAGAATTCTGATACTTGTTGAAACTAATACTATCAGCCGGAAAATAAATAACCAGCGTACAGTTGCTCACCAGAACTTTCGGAGCCTATTTAGAAGCTACTTACTACTCAGTTTCTGATTATTTCTACCACTGAACTATGGGCTTCTTAAAATTACTCACTTTAAGGTAAGCTTTTATTTAAGCTGCAGAATGTTCATTCAATCCTATCTCAATGGTCTATAGGCTTTGTTTTTACCACAATACTTAAAGTTCCTGTGGTTGATCATATGTATAGTCACAAACCAGTACAAAGCAGTTATTCATTGATTACCTGATTTTCAACGATTTTCAGTTTGATATTAGTCTGTATTAAAAACTAATTTCTCGTTGAAACGTTCTTCTCTTCAAATCTCTTTATAGTAAAAATCGTGAAATAATGTTCAAGTATTGTTTAATATAATTTGAGTATCGGTAATGCGTAAAATTTGGTTGTTGATTAATACATGCATATACATTTAGAAGTATATGTATTTACTTTCTAACCATAGACAACAAGTCATAACTGTTATAACGCTCGGTTTTACTTCGTCTTATGTTATAACGGTTGGGTTTCCACGTTTACACATATGGGACGTTAATTTACCTTAGACGAATATCTACACTAGATTCCCTCCTAGTGTCTATTCTACAGGACTTCAACATAACTCAGATCAAGAACACGTGATTAGGCCGACCACAACGTAAATGTATTTCCACATCAAAAACACGACACAATCCAACAACAATGAACAATAAGTGAGTAATAATAATAGGGATAGGGGAATATATAACTCATCTAACACCTGTCGGACTATCTACATGTCCGACTAAGCAGAGAACTAATCATTATCATTCTAGCCCACACATCAATAATATATTTTTGTTTTGACATTTTCATAACTTAAAAATATAATTCCATTTTGTTTTCATAATCAATTGTACCATTAAATGTAGTTGAAAATCGTGATCAATTAGAAAAAATAGTTGCCGATGCTACTTTTATAAAAGTAAGTAGAAAGTAATACAAAATTTAATTATTTGCTTATTTATTTGATTAATCGATTTCTTACCCAATATAATGCTTATTTCACCCAAAGGCATCCAAAAACTTTTTTGAGATCCCATAATGCTTGTGCCATTAGAGACTCTTTGATAAACACGGTGTCGAAGGTCAATTATCTTGGTGTTACTTTTTCCTCTGTTTTCTCTTGGTCTTCTCGTGTTTTACTGTTATCGAAGAAAGTTTTCCATCTGACTTACTATATAAAGAGACTTGATGCTTTCGGATTACTCGTCATTTACTCTTACAATTTGTCAATTCATGCATATTACATATTATTCATTACTTTTCTCCATTGTTCTTTCCCGGGCTTTTGAGAAAAGATTTTGCTGTATTGCGGAGAGTGTTCAAAGCAGTTAGCAAGGTGTGTGGTGAATCTTTATTATTAATATGGCTGTGGATAGACATGTAAACTCTTGCAAATTCCTGACAAGTGTTATCTTATCAGATACTAACCATTCCCTTCACTCATATTTTTCCCCTTGTATATATTCTGGAAGAACGAGACGTAATTACATTAAAATCCATGCACGCAAGCAAAAGTAGAAAAGTTATATAATACCTTACCTAGCAAATATACTATGTGACGAACAGGTTGTTATAGCCAACCTAGTCAATAACCTGTGTTCTTAAACATGTTTTTAATTTGGAATGTTGCACTAACTTGCATTGAACTAAGCTATAGGTTTATCGAAATAAAGTTGTATGACCAAGAAAACTTTGTCGAAAATAACAAAAAAAACGTTGAATTTAAAGATAAGATTAGTTGACAGCTTGTCAATGTACATCAATTCATTTCATAAATTTTGGAATGTTTCATACTTCCTAAGATTCCTTCACGTTTTTAAATTCGAAACACACAAAAAGGAAATTTATATAATATTACATGTAACTATTTTGATTTCAACACTCTCATAAGAACCTTACAACCTAAAGTTAATCAACGTTAAAAGTATGTGTAACAAGGTAATGCTAACTGAATGTCAAAATGATGTTTGTGTTATTACTTTAGTATAAAGCCTCGAAAAGTGTCAATGAAGTATTAGCTGATTCCAATTTAATTATTTGTGATACTATACGTACAAAAATACAATTATACTAGCTAATAAACAATATTTTATCATTGTACATTTCATACTATACGACATAACTAAACAAGGAATTGACACACTTTACGTTAGCTTAATTACGAAACGTCTAGGCGATTACCTTTGCACATGTTATTACATAATTCTATGATTGATTAGGGAAAACCAATCAACTGATACTGTGCTCATTCCCAATGATTTATAGACCGATTTCTAGTCGATCATTTCATTCATGAATGTATGAATCTGGAAATAAGTTTTTCCTAATAAAATATCTATCACAGGATTATACGTCATAATTACTCTATGAAAAGAAAAGCAAAGAAATAAAAACACGAGAAAATTGGTTTGTATTTCGAAAAATAACAGATTGTATAAAATGTAAGGTTGAATCTAATAAATATTATAATCAGAAAGATCATAGGAACAGGAAACCATCCGATTTCAGGTAACAGATTAAAAGAACATAAAAGAGGTGATTGATTTGTAGAATTAAAAATGATAACCACGGTAACAGAAAAAGCTAAATAATTATCATTTTCAAATGTAATTAAAAATTTATAATATCTTTGGCAGATTATTGAAATGAAGAAAAAGTGAATAGGCATTGTCATCGACAATCTTATCGCCATTATAGATAATTCTGAATGATTCATTTGTACTTCTAATTCATTCTTACTACTTTCTTTCTTAATAGTTCAAAGTAGTATTCTATAATCTCGTTTGACAGAACCTACATTTAAATGACAAATGCAGCTACCTCTATCATGGTTTAAGTAATCTATCAAAATATTCTTTTTATTTATGTTAAATATTTTTCAATTTTATTCCGTTTCCAGAAATTGAATGATATTATGCAAACAAAAATTAATACTGAAGTGGAAAAACACAGAAAACAATATGAGTCAAATAAAAACCTGACTAATTCAAGGTAGTTATATTATGTATTAAATCCTTTTCAATGCAATATAATTTTCTAAACCAATTATGTTAATCTACTATTGTGATCAATAATTATATATAACTACCTTTACTCTTAAACGTTAAAATAATAATCAGTTAAGTAGCATTGGGATGCTACTTTGTTCCAATATAAGATTCTTTAGTCGTTTCCATCAATAACCATTCCAGAGATCAAAACCGGAACCTGTAAGACTCATAGAAAGCGCCGAGCCTTTAAACCACCGAATTGATACCCGATGCTTTACAACGCCAAGTTCAATTAATTTGCTGAAATGTATGGATTTCTGAACCTAAAACATAGACTGAGCAGTTGTCCGGTACTCAGTATTTTTCATTGACTTCAGCTGATGCCAGATCATCACGGAAACTATTTCGAAATTGAAGAACTAAGATCTATCTATCTAGTATGGATGTTTTCTAGTTCACATTCAATTAAGAAGATACTTATAATCTATTCCCATTAGTGATTATAAAATGAAATTTCATAAATTCCAGTAGTTTAGCTGTGTCACCAGACCATTACAATCTCAATATGCAGAGCTTTTTAAAATCTTAATTACTGATTCCTGATACATGTCGTCGACTAATGTTGTAAAACTACTCCTATATGTAAATATTTATCCATAACACTATAAATTATAGTTATCTGATTAATAAATTTTATGTTAACTTTTAGCACATTTAAAAGCCATCCAAAGCTTACAAAGGTCCTTGTGGATGAACTACTCTCAAGAATAGGAGCTCAATTTTATCATCCACGATCTGGACAAGTAAGGGCAGTTTTTCTATGTGTTTATTTTTATTATCCTGTTCATCTACTGAAATTTTGTAAACAGTATCAGAATAAAAACGAAAAAAGATTTGAAGGTTTGAAGAAGAAAATGAATTCATGCTTTATAACAGCTTCTCGTCCGTTTCATAGAAACTAAAATTATAATAATTAATACCACTAATAATAAGTGTTTAGCATCCTAAGGAAGGATAAAGATCAGTTTAGTACCAACTATGACTTCTATGAACATGTTAGACCATCGGTTTCCGTTCCCAAAAGTTCATAAGAAGAATATCCCCTTACATCCAATACTTGATATGAATAACTCTCCTCATCATTTGATGTTTAACATGCTTTTGTTTGTGAATTTTAAATAAATGTGCGAAATTTTACCGAAATCATAATAATAAGTAGAATAAGGATATAAAGTATATGCATAAACATATTTAAGATCGATGTGTATTTATGTACTGTAAAGTAGTATTTCAGAGGTTATGTAACGGTAATCAAATTAATAAGTGACTGGGTAATCACCCAACATGACAAAATAAACAGACATGTGGAGATCGATCAGATTATGTAACACATGAATATCAGACGACAAAAGAATAATAAGATAAAAGAATTGCAGACAGGGTTGAAATAAAAGGGTTAGAAGTAAGAATTAATAAGGATTATAAGATGAACCTCCAATCACCATGGAAGGAAAAGGTTAATCGCATTTTCATTTTGTATACATAAGTCAGGTCAGAAACATTTGATAACGATTGCATCTACCGAATGGAGTAGGAGGGGTGTTTTTTATTTGTCGAAACATTATTTTTAATCCATTACTTACATCTGCTTCGTATCTATCATTCAAATAATGTCTGGCGATTGTACTTGTTAAAACCTTATTTCTTTTCACCCGTAGGTTCCTAGGAATATATTCAGAAAACCTTGTAAAGGCCCTAATTTCTGACTTTATTATGCACCCGCTATTGCAGGTACATGTAAATTTATTATTGCAATTACAGGTGACGTCACAAGTATAACGTCCTATTATGGTACTCTTCAGTAGTGCACATCCACAACCTCACACTCGGGAATCAAACCCATAACCCTCTGTCTTAGGTTCGAGCGCCCAATCTCTAGAAAACTGGGGTGGGACCCAACGGTGTTAATGTCTGACTTCAAATAATTCATGATACTGTGTAATTCTCATATGTTGCCTAGGATGGAATACTATCTCACATTTGACAAGGATTGGACTATACCGGTCACGGTTTCTCAATAGAACTCCAGAGTTCTTTAAAGTTAGTAAGCAGAGGATTATCAGTAAATTCCAAAATCTCCACAGTCCCCTTCCACTAAGTTGAATATTTTTGTTTTGAACATACCTTTAATTATCACTGAAATAAGGAAAATATTTTTTTAAATATGCCATCCAATCTGTTGATTATTTGTATTCCAACCGATTGTCTTCACATGTTTCCATTATTACTTCATTTTAGCTAATTAACTTTAGTAAATGCAGATTGTGTATATTCTGGAATTCCCATAGTTTACATCACGGACTGATCTTAGTTTGACAACATTTAAAAACTAGGAAGCAGTAGAGTTCAACCATGTCGGTCAATATCTTAAACTGATCGTAGTTAGATATATTTATTATAGAATCCAGGCTCAGTGATTTAAAGACAAACCACTCACTGTGAGAACTGAAAGTTTCGAGTTCGATCCCAAATAGGGTCATGAATCCTTATTGCTGAGTGAATTCTATACTAAGAATAAACCGTTGTCCACTGTTTCTTAGTTTTCAATGCTCCTATATTTGAGATCAATCGATGATGTAAGGAATAACAAATCTTAGTTTACTCATATCAACATATCAAATACTTATTTTTCATGATTTGTTTTATTCATTAAGTCTAAGTGATTTCAAACTATTCATTTTCATACTTATAATTCATATCAGTAATACAAAATGTTTTTATCTCATTAAAATGTCATGCTTGTTTTTTTCAATAAAAGTCTAATTAAGTATCATTTATTTCACTGGTTGAAATCATGAGTCAATTGAAGCTAGACCACCATGGAAAACCTGGAAGCACTGGACGGCCGTTTCGCCCTAGTATGGGACTCCTCAGCAGTGCGCATCCACGATCAATGTTAATATTTAACCAGGTCTGCTGTGAGATATCAGCTCACCGAAGACAATGGTTTACGGTGGCGCAACTCCGTGGATTGGTTGAAGTTAGACATTAACACCGTTGGATGTCAGCTCAGTAGTCTACTTGCTTAAGCATCTGGCGCGAGACTGATAGGTCATGGGTTTGAATCTCGCGAGGAGTGGGATCGTGGATACGCACTGCTGAGGAGTCCCACAATAGGTGGTCTAGTTTCAATTGACTAATGATTTCAACCAGTGAAATTTCTAAAATCTCCACAAAACTCCTTCTGATAATATCATTTATTTGTTTTGTGTTTTCTTTTATTCAATTTTAAGTTTAGCTATAGAAGTACTCAACGAGTAATGGATGGTATTGATGTAGCATTACCTTATACATTTCCTGGAGTACAAATATTTGACAGATTAATTAAAGATGGTGATTAAATTTTTCTTCCATTATTAACTATGTTTAGTTTATATAGACAATATTATGATTATAAATGTGTTTATGATGGTGATTAATATATCATTATTAATTCTGTACAGTCATTTAACTCATTAGCTAACAGTTGAATTATGTTTAGAATAATGGCAAAACAAACTATTCACATTTAACATTGAACATCTTCATTCATAATGAATGATATACAATATGTTATTACAACTAGATGATATTCTTAATACCATAAAAACATTAATTTATATCTTTAGGATTTTATGGAGTAATTAACAAAACAGGTTACTATGATCCTGATTGAAGAGAAAAAAATAATAATGAATATGCAAGTATTTGTTAATGTTTGTTCATTTGACGTATTCAGTTATCAGTAATCCCAATGATAAAAAACTCAAAAATATTGAATAGAAAATATGAAATTATGCGTTTTATTTTGATCAAAAACTTCACAGAGCTCCTAGTTCTTCTTGAATACTTTTAATGAAATGAAATGAGTAAAATCAAAGAAACTTCTAACAGAGAATCTAATTAAATTATATGAATATAACTTAACAAATAGGTTAGCATATTGATTGTAGTGTTAGATTGTCGAATCATTAGTTTTCCGGACAAAGTTTATCAATATTGTAGACAAATCAATATATACATTCATTTGGTATTGTTTACTTGAATCTTCCCATTGATGTTTAGGACTGCAATTGACCAGTCTCTTATTAGCATATGTGCATACTATGCGTATTACCTCGATATTATCTTAATTCACAAGCATTATAAGCAAAAATGGATAGTGGCTAGCAGTGGCTATCAAGACTTAATAGCTAAGTCGATAACGTGATGACGTTTGAAGCAAACGGTATTTGGTTCAAGTTCCAGAGTGTATATCAACTCTGAGATGCAGGTACATCTAGCTGACGAGTTCAAAATAAGACGAAACGCGCGTCTTAGATTCCACTGCTAGCCACTATCCATCTTTGCTTATATATATAAATCAATTTTTCAACTCATAGGGATATTAATTTTATTAGTAATGTTTTATTGTTTTATTGGAAACGATCAAGAGAATCTTTTTCTTTATATTCACCTACAAGGATTCTAAAGTAAGACTGAACTTGAAAGAAACGTGAACATTTTCTATTTACATACATTATCAAATATATATTCCTTATTATTGATATTAGGAACAGTTAAAGTTGCCTTAGAATCTCTTTTGATGTTTCTTCGTCATTCTATTAAATAATAATAATAATAAAATAATAGCATGAGTGAAAATAATAATACTCGTTATATTCAGTATTAGAAACTCTAAAAGCATAGAATTTTCAGCACTGAGTGTTCAATATAAGCGTGAACTTAAAATATAATCATTAAAGATATAGTTTGATACATACTTTAGACGGTTATTAAACTTTTCTACCACTTCAACTACTAAAGGTATTTACCAATCTATCGTGTATAAGATAGTTGAATTACAATGTATTTGTCCCTGTTTATCAAATGATAGATAATTAGGAAAAAATATCAAGAACTGTAGTTTTTCGGTTCGAGTTTGCCAAAACTTAGTTTCGCAATAATTTCTCAGTCTTTTATAGGCACATACATTTAGCATCCAAAGTTTATTTGTTCAAATAAATCTAAAATAATTTTAACAGTTGACATCATGAGCCGATTGAAGCTAAACCATCATGGAAAACCTGGGAGCATTGTACGGCCATTTCGTCTTCTTGTGAGATTCCTCAATTTCGTGAGTTAGTTGAAGGTAGATATTAACACCGTTAGATACCGGCTCAGTGGTCTGAAGGTTAAGTGTTCGCGCGCGAGATCAATAGTTCCTGGGTTCGAATCTCGCGAGGCGGAATGGTGGATAGGCATTGCTGAGGAGTCCCACAATAGCATAAAACAGCCATCCAGTGCTTTCATATTTTCAATGGTGGTTTAGCTTTCATTAACTAATGATCTCGACAATTAAAATTACTATAATATCCACGAAACTCCTTCTGATACAAATCTAAAATAGGTAGGTTAATTGTATTGTTTGCACAGTTGGAAAGCAAGTGGTCCAAATATTCATATGGGCCACTGTTATCATAATCAATTGGTTAGATAGGTATTTATTATCATTATATGGGAAGAAGTAGTATGTGATTAATGAACGAGGAATTGATACCTTGTATCTATGTTTTTTCATTATTTTAAATTGAAATTAAATGCTTCGACATGCGATAAACGACTTATTTAAATTTTGGTGCAAAACTTCAAAATGTGAACTATCAGATTGACATATAAATCCATAAATTAGGAGAGTGTAACTTGAGATATTCATTATTTATTATAATTTTAAATAACCAACGGTAGCCTATGTTGCAGTTAACATCAAAATGAAGGTTAGCTTCGAATCGAAAACAGCACGCAAATAAAGAAGGTTTGAACACCGGTCTGTAATATGCATTGCAATAGTTTATAGGATTTTAAGATAAGCGATGTTATAAATTATAGAATTTCAATCATTTCAATATCATCAAGCACTTTGAAACTTAATGACGATCTAATAATACTGTAATGAAATTTAGTTTCAAAAAATATCTTTAATGTAAAATAATCAAATGACTGGATAAGAAATATATTTTCCTAAAGAAAAAGTTCCTACTGTTCTAGCATGAAATTTTCAAATCTAATTAGCTGATACGTAGAGAACCGAGTCAGCTTCCAGAAGGTCATTCATTTCCAGTTTATTACATCTACTAGGTTCTCCTTCGAATTAGATCATTATCTTACATATAAGGTAGTTAATTCTCTAAAATTACTTCGCTTTTTCTACAAGCATAAACTTGGTGTTGATAATCTGATGTTATTCGGTTTATGATTCTTTCGAAAACCTGTAAATGGGTTCAATAAACTATGCTTACCAACAATATATCAGCCTATATTACAACAAACGTTCAAGAGTTTGTAACTGTTTGTTAAAAGATTCCTCTTAGATGGAACCCACTTTGTTCTAGTAAGCTATACAACTAAATTTGTATACATGGAAGAAATTTAGGAAGAATTCCAGTTGAAAATAAGTTTTATGAGTTATTTTTTAGAGTTGCATGTGTTGATTAAATTATAAGCTGGAAAATGCGGTCCAGTAGTAACTCCTAGATGACTTCTATTTTGATGGCCAAAGTACTCTCCTTTAAGGAGAAGTTTTATAAACATTATACATTCCGAAGATAGTAGCTATTTTCTGAATTTTTAATGAATTAATATTATATAAATATCGTTTCCCGTTGAAGCCCTCCTTATACTCTTTACTTTACTATTTCCACAACAAAAACCTTATGAAAAGTCGAACTTTGAGCCTCTGAATTTTATAGTTAGTAGACCAATAGTCCACATTAACTTCGGCGATTGTTGTTGAAATGTGTATATCGTGTAGATGAGTTTGATTTCAATAAACTTTTCTTGGTATACACATTTTATCTCGGAAATCATTAAAAAATGAGGATTATTGAATCATGCTAGACATGAGACCTGGAATTCTTAATCAGGCCATTTATAAATCATGTATATGCACCTTACTAGAAAAGCTCACTAATCCACTGTTTTACGGTATTTCAAGCTTCTTCAGTAGATAATATTTCTTCAAATTAAATTAACCTTCAGAAAAAAACTCAATTAAATAATATCAAGCTAGGTTGACTTATATTGTGGAAAATGAGTGAATTCAACGCTTTTCGTTTGATTGTATGAATTACATGGAATATGTTGAAATTAGTTTTGATATAAACTTTTTAGTGTAAGACTGAACTTCATCAAACCTTGAAGCATGGATATTTTGGTACCATATTATATAGATCTGGTAGATAGATCATTAGTACCTTTGTTAATAACAAATAATTTTGTATCTATTGCTTTAGATATAGTTTTCATGCCAATTTCAGAGATTGTAAACTGTTTGTGACAATAAATCAAATGAATTTGAAAATAAATAGATTTTAACTATTTGTAAGATCCATGATTTTAGCATCAAACACTCTGTGTGCAGTTTATATCTGTACTCACTTTCATATTAAGCAAAATAGACAATTGATGTAAGCTTATTAAAGGCATTATGATGGATTAAACTGCAAAATCGTGCATAGAGGACAGATGACATGCTCGTTTGAGGTAAAGACCAGTGTAAGGTAAGGTTGCTTACTCTCACCATTTCTCTTTCTCCCGATGATCGACTGGATCATGAAGACGTCATCATATGGGGGTGAGCATGAGATAAAGTGGACAGATAGGATGCAGCTGGATGATCTAGGCTTCGTAAATGGTCAGGCTTTTCTATTGCACATGTAACAAAAAATGCAGGAGAAGACGACCAGTGTAGCAGTAGCCTCGGCAGCAGTAGGTCTCAACATACACAAAGAGAAAAAAGTTTCTCCGATACACCACAACATGCAACAGTCGAGTCACACTTGACGGAGAAGATTTGGAAGATGTAAAAACCTTTACATATCTGGGCAGCATCATTGATGAACACGGTGGATCTGATGCAGATATGAAGGCACGGATCTCCAAAACAAGAGCAGCATATTTACATATCAAACCTAAAACAACTGTCAACCAACACTAAGGTTGGAATTTTCAATACAAATGTCGAGACGATTCTTCTGTATGGGGCAGAAACGTGGAGAACTACGAAAGCCATCATCCAGAAGATACAGGTGTTTATTAACAGTTGTCTACGGCGAAATATTTCGGATCCGTTCGCTAGACACTATCAGTAACAACTTACTATGGGAAAGAACAAACCAGATCCCAGAAGAGGAAGAATTTGGGAAGAAGCGCTAGAAGTATGTAGGACACACATTAAGGAAAGCACCCAACTGCGTCACAAGACAAGCCCTCATATGGAATCCTCAAAGTCAAAGGAAAAAAGGCAGACCAAAGAACACAGTACGCCGAGAAATGGAGACAAACATGAGAAAAATGAACAAGAATTGGATGGAACTAGAAAACAAGGCCCAGAACCTAGTGGGTTGGAGAATGCTGGTCGGCGGCCTATGTTTTATTAGGAGTAACAGGTGTAAGTATGTAAGTATTAAAAGAATTAAATAGAACAGCTAGCAACAATGATTTATATTAAGGCAATATTTGCTTGTATGCAAACCAATTAGAAATACACAACAATTCAGATATGTAATCCTGCTAAGATTATGAAAAAAGAATCTTCATTAACCACATTTTTGCTTTATTAATCATATGTGAATTTATTCTTCAGAAGATCATCAGTAGTACTTAGCTATATTATTATTCAATAAATTATTGAATTAATCACTTATTCAGAGTAAAGATAGGGATGGATATTGAAGATAAATATCTAAAATCTAGTATAAAAGCGCGAACATTCAAGTAGATAGTAACTCTACATTCACTACTGACAAATATGAAAATGAATTTTTAAACGTTTTAGTGAGAAACCATAGTCTATGAAGTTAACCATGTATGTCAGTAATGATATAGTTGCCGACATTAAATGATCGTCCCTGATGAGGAACTGACAACACTTGAAAATACAAGTGATATAATTCTGGTTGAGTGATCTGAAAGAATTTTACTCAAATAAACATCTAAATAATCATGATTAGATCCTATATAACTTTATGAATCCACACGGTTGAGGTGTTGTAAACCAGAAAGAAACATTTTTTTGCTTTTTTTCGTGTTTTTTCAATGATCCTCCAGTTGTTGTCTCTTCTTGTGGGGATCTATCTTTAGAATCACCCATACATATGATATATTTACCAACCATTTTTATGGTAATTCACTTGGTATTGTTCGGCTTGTATCTTCCCATTGAGATTTAAAACTGCAACTGATCAGTCTGTTATTGGCATATGTGCATACTGTGCGTATGCCTCGATATTACCTTCATTCACAAGCTCTTTGTAAGCAATGATGGATAGTGGCTAGCAGTGGAATCCAGGACGCGCGTTTCGTCCCATTTGTGACTCCAGCTGACGAGTCTGAAATGGGACGAAACGCGCGTCCTGGCTTCCACTGCTAGCTACTATCCATCATTGCTTACATTTTTATGGGAGTTTATAAACTGAATTTTGTTTTAAGATGGTATATATAACAAGTAACCTTTAAGCTAAGTCATTTCGACTTTGTGACCAAAAATTCTATCATCACATCACTAAACGATATTTGTTTAAAATTCTATTGAAAATTTTTATTGATGTTTACTAAATAAGTTCCCATACATAAGAACAATATTGTCAAAGCGGTATATTCAAATGACGAATCTTAGATAAGAAAAAAACCCAAAAACTCTTTTATTGAATTCTATTGTTAACACATATATTATTAAGCATTGTGATGTATTAAGTACTTCATATTAAATATCCCTACTAACTAATGTTGACTGATATACACAAAATTATTATGAATGTTAAAATAACTATCCAGTGAACTTTTTGAACAGAAATATGATCAACTTAAAAAATACAAAAAAAATGATTACGTAAGTTAGAACAAATGAAATAATCAATAAGTTGCAAAGTAGTAAAATGATGTAACTCATTGATTGACATATAACATTATAATAAATACAGTTATCATATACAATTTCATTCATTTCACATTTTATAACATTAAACATTGTGTTCATTTGTCATACCAATAATATTTAATAATAATTTAAGTCGGAAAATTGTGTAGGTGGAGCTGGAGAAAGTGGAACAGCTTGTAATAGAGGTGAAGCTTTCGTTGATAATGATGTTGTTATTGAGATAGTAGGTAATTTATTGGATGAATTTATATGAATTTGATTGTAATTATTAGAATTTAAATTAATTGTATCTTGCACTGTTTTATATAATAGATAATTATTATTATTATTATCATTTATTGCACAATTATCATTTTGGTTAGTGTAATCATTTTCCATATTAGATGACTGATCAAAATATCCACTGGTTATGTAACTATCATGAATTGATGATAACAAAGGGTTATATGAAGGTTGCAGATATCTAGAAGTATTATCATTATTAATATCAGTATTATTTGTAATAATAGAATTATCCAAATTTACAGGAAATCTTGAATGTTCATTTATTTTATATGGGTCATTTGAACGATAGGAGTTTAAGTTAATCATTGATCGACCATTATAATCTTCTTCAAAATTTTCAGCATAATTTCTTTTGTCCAATGATAATTGTTTCACTGATGTTACATAACATGGTGGTTGTTTTGCTGTAGGGTTCCATGTCATATAACGATTAGATAGATATAAATCTTTTGGAATTGTAGTAAACCCATTTTCATTTAACAATTCACTACGATATCCTGTTGTACCAATAGAAGAATGTCGATAAAGTTGTTGCTCACGCTGTTGTTCATGTTGTTTTTCTTGATGATATGGCCCCGGATATTGATTTTGATAATAGTTATGTGTAGATGAAAAGTCATACAAACCATAATTTCTATCTATATTTGTGCTTGTCTGTAATAAGGATTCGTTAAATGGTGTTGGATAAGCAGCACCTGTTTCAATAATACCATTATTTGTATTTCCTGGAATTATTCTACAATCAGAACCGTCGTAATAATTTTGATCAGTTGGTGATTGATCAACTGATGTCCATTGTCTAGCCGATTTATAATTACAACTTGAATCATGTGTAATTATACTGGAAATATTAGATCTATCATAGAAAATTAAGAAAATAAACATTAATCATTAACATGGTAACAAAGAAGATTTTACACCGTTTAAGAAATAATGTTGTTCATGAAATTAAAAAACATATGTGTACAAAATAATTATCCATATTTCATAACCTTTTCACGATTATGACAACAGTCTTCTTGGCTTTCATATAAATGTTTACTTAAGTTTATTCTTCCGAATAGTTTGTAGTGACCTACTTTTATCAAGAGAACGCGATTGGTTTAATGGAAACAACTATTATTATAACCAATAGTACCACTGATTGTTTTACTGTACTTGTTTGTTTAACTGTACTAAAGACGTCGGTTATTCTTGCATTCTTCCTTCCGTTGGTTGTGACCTTGCACGAACTTACATTTGCTCAGTAAATCCGCTTGTACTCATTTGGTACGATCTCGGTATTCTTTCGATACCACGAGGTCACCAACAAATATACTTAGCTACAACCTTCGATTGCCTTTTGATATTTGGTACGCAACCTCCTTGTAGTGGTGTTCATAGTCAAACGCGACTCGATGCCACACTACAAGTTTACACATTTAACTTATCATAGTTATTTAATCCTTGATTATCTAATACCACCCTATTTAGTCTGAATTTTTTTACACGTATGTTCTGACCTTAATTTTTGTTATCTAGTCTTTTATACACTTTCCCCCATTATATATATACTGATCCTAAAGCGATACTCTAATCCAGAAAGATGTAGTCATTATATCGCTAAACTCTGAAAATGAATAATTTCTTTGAAATATGATAAACAATACGGATTGTACTGAAAAGCTTTCAGGAGTTTACGATAGTCTACATTTTAGTGTTCGTGAAAATAAAATCATTTTTTAATAAGTTTATCTTCCATGCAAATTATCACGTACGCTTCAAAATTTAGGAGAACTGAGTAACAAACATTGTAGATTTGTTGTAACCCATCAAAGATACTAGTTGATAATTATAACAACACTGAAAGTGTTGTTTTTTATTTCATACAACTATCATTAATCACATACAATAAACGTTATCTGTAACCTAGACTGTTTGGCACTATCTAACCATTCGTCATTTATTCATCACCCTCTATGTCATTACTGAATATTTCAATTTGAATGAAATTCTGTAGAGGATAATCTACAATTATGGATTAGAAAAAGTTTATTTTTGTATTCATTCGACAATTAAGTAAAAATACTACTGTTGTGAGTAACGGCAGTTTTTTTTTCAGTCCTTATAATTTATTCAAATAAAATATTGAATAATGAGAAAATATGCATTTGGGTGAACAAATAGAATCATTGACTGTAAATTTATAATTTAAACATTTATGGAGACAATGGTGTACGTTGGCGCAACTTCGTGGATTGGTTGTAGTTAGACATTAACACTTTTGAATGCCGGCTCAGTGATCTAGTTGGTTAAGCTCCTGGTGCGAGGCCACAGGCTTCGGGTTCGAATCTCGCATGGTGAGGGATCGTGGATGCGCACTGCTGAGGAGTCCCATACGAGGACGAGACGGTCGTCCAGTACTTCCGGGTTTCCCATGGTGTTCTAGCTTCAAATGACATGATTTCAATCAGTGAAATTTCTAAGATCTCCACAAAACCCCTTCTGACTTATGAATTGACACTAGAGATAAAGGATGCCTTTACTGTCATAAGAAAAATTTTCTTTTGAAATAGCTTCAAATGAATAACTTAACATATTCAAGTATAATCCTAATGATTACAGTTTTGTGCATAAATTAAAGAACTTAACGATTACTTACTTTTTATCCATTTTAGGTTTACGACGCATTAAGCATAAAACTAATCCAATACATCCTGTACTTATAGTTATGATGAGAATTAAACCAATGGAAGATATGATGATAAGTTTTCTCCAGTTCTAGTGAAATAAAAGAGAAAGTGGAAGGCAATTCACTTAAAAAGATAATCAGTCTCATTCATCAATATCAAAATATGACAATACAAACTATATATTAGTGAGATATCTAAGAATTGAATACAGTTATGACTAAACTAATTGTCAATGACCATGTTTTTAATTTAAAAGCTAAAATTTTGCTGGATTGTGAAATGAAAACTAAACCTAATCGCTAAAACACGCACAAAAATGGGTGTTTAGTTTACACGATGCCTGCGGTAGACACATTTTATTTTAATAGTTAAATTCATGAGTCGATCTAAGCTAGATCACCACTTAAAACATGGAAGCTGTGAACGGCCGTTTCGTCTCAGTGTATGACTCCTCAGCAGTGCGCAGAAATAGTAGTAACATGAAAATTTTGATTCATGAAGTAACATACAATTCAACCAATTAACATAATTTTTACTTTGAGTAGGTGTTTCATTTTTTTTCTGATTTTTGAAAATTGAACCAACCAAATTAATGAAAAAATTTAATTATGTGCTCTGATGTAATATTTATCTGCATGACTTCATGAACTTTGAATAGAAAAAGAAAAAATAAGGTTCGTGGGGTAAAAATGGAACTAAATCCGTTTCAAGAAATTCTATTAGCAACAAGTAACTTAGATATATAATGATTGATAAGACTAGAAATAAGTTTTTCTTACGTTTAGTGATAGAACTACGAAGAAAGCTGTGAGTGGTGTAAAATAAAAATGATATAACACACTATAATTAGAAGTAACGTACTATAGCACTAAATAATCAGTGAGATTAAGCTTACAAATAAATAACTAACTGTATCATAAAACATTACAATTTAAATTAAACTGAACAAAGTGGAAAAAAGTTGGGTAAATGACAAAATGGTAGACAAACATTTTGTAGAACAACAAACTTCCTAGGTGAATTCTTTCATTACGCTCCCCTATTGAATGTTTAGATAAGTCTTAATTATATTAACATCATATTCGTAAACAACCAGTGACTGGTCATTACACTTGTCAAGATTTTTGTTCCTTTCCGATCTCGTGATTCAGCTGTCTTCTTTCTAGTTCTTCTTATATATGGGACTCTAAAAGTATAAATAAATTGGTAAATGTGATTGATGCTTACTTCATAAAGTTACAGATGTATATATGATTGCTTGTTGTATTTGATGTTATATAATGAAATCAGTGCTACTTGTGAAAAGCGACTTTGAAATTATAGCCTTTATTCTCTACCTAATTATTTATAGATTATCATCTCTCACAAACAAATAAAGGAAGATGACAAACTTCTGTTTCATAGTTAGAGGTCTGGGATTTTCAGCAAACTCTTACTGAAGGCCCAGGATTCGAGTCCCATGTGAGGAATCGTGGATGTGCACTGTTAAGGAGTCCCATAATAGAATGGAACGGTCATCCAGTACTTCTAGGTTTTCAATGGTGGTCTAGCTTAGATCGAAACATGAATTGAACTGTGGATATTTTATATAAAAGTTTCTGAAATATCCATTACTCACAAGACTTATGTTGCTCTGTGCTTTCAAAATAACTTCATTAAATAAAGTGTTTTAACTTGGTATTTAAAATATGACATTTTGTCAACAGAATCCGGTCAGCAGAAAACTATGAAACTAGGCAGCATATTTCTATTAAAAATGTACTTAAACGAATAAAATGCATAAAGTTATATGGAAAATTAAGATCAGAAAGTCAAAGATAATAAGACTAAAACTAACTTTATACATCACACAAACTTCATTTAGTTATGCACTCAGTTTAATGTTGAATAATATGACTAAACTCTAAAATAGGAGTATCGATTCTATCTAAAACAAAATATTTCTAGTTAAGTTTCTAATAATTAATCTATACTCATAATTCTATTAGAATGACCGGTTTAACTTAATCAGTGAAGAAATAACTAATTCTCTCGGTCTACTGTTGTTTTAATTCGTGTTTAAATTATATGTACATGGAATTAGAATATGTAAACAAATGCTTCACAATACTTCATGATTATCACTATCAAGATTTATTGAAGGTCATTGAATTTTATGTATATCACGAAGGAAGCCTGATTAGAAATCACTTGAAAACCAGATAGCAGTGGAAAACTGTTCCGTCCCAGTAAAGGACTCCTCAGGTTTGCATATCTATGATCCTTTCAAGTGAATAATTGATGCCTAATCCAATACATCAACACCTGAATGGCATTTACATGTAAATCAACTAACGGTTTCTCTTAGTTATCTTTGAATGTTTTTATCGGGTGACTGTTCCACACTCGACATGTGTGCTGCCGTGGATGTGAGTGGTTCCATGCTACGATAAAACAGTCATCCAGTGCTTCCAGGTTTTTTTAATGAATGTCTAACATGAGTTGGCTTATGATATCTGTAAATTTATAATTAGATTAAATATAATTGTCACAACTGAAAATCTGTTTTTCTAGTGAGTAGAACATCACATTACTTATGTCTATATATTTATTCTTTGAATCATGAATGAACTAGTAACTAATCTCAATGGTTTAAATGTATTTACATACATGCTGATTTACATGTACTTGTGATTTGATAGTTTAATTGAACTTACACAATTAATATGATCAAATAGTTAATAACAAATTACCTATAATTTAATTACACTTTTCATTATTCATATTAAATATCATCTTTACATTATTATATTAAATTAGAATGATAATACACGGAACCAAAACGGCACACTTATTTTTAATAAACATTCTCATCTTGAAAATATTTATAAAATTATTAATACTTTAAACATAAATCGGCTAAATTATAAACATTGTCTACTATCGATCGTTAATGTATCACATGGAAACTGTATGGAACCTATTTATTAGAGAGAGATTTAACCATATATATATATATATATAATATATATATATATATATATATATATATATATATAACTTTCATAATACATATAGAAAAGGGCTTAGAATATGAAAATCATGTTTACTTAGTATTAGTATATACAGAAACATTATCAAGTGAAATTGACTAATATGAAATCACTGACGTAGTAACAAATTGTAATTAGTATATCACTTTACGAGAATTGACTATCATTATACCTGTATTATATTATGAAATTATACTTTATGGAGAATCAATTGAATTGAAAGTTATAATTTGATTGTTCTTTATAGATGATCAATGTTATTTATTTTATAACTGTTCATATGTTTCATTATTATGTTTAATTTAGATTTGTATTTTCAGTAAAACTTATGACTCAGATAACAATCAGTGTTTATTTGTAAATAATTCTAAATTAGTAATGGTTTCATAATTAAACTATAAATCATTCAACATAATACTTTATCTAATTCATTTTAAATAACTGAATATTATTGTTTAATCTGTTGTATGAAGTATGGTTAAAAGCCAAGTACATGATTTGTACTTTGACACTGATTTCTATTGTGCTAATGAGGTGTGGCAACTTGGACCAATGCGTAAATGTGTCTGGTCATACATTATAACTCACTGACTCATTTACATTACTTCATTTAATGAACTTGGTTCAAAAAGATACCATTGAGATTTCAATAAAAAAGTTAAATTGTTCATTGTTTATTTATACTACGATAGCACATAGGCAGCTTAGTACCAAATAACAATCTAGGCGTATTATGTTATAGAATACAGATAACAAACTTTTTGTGTACAGAAAAATGTTTACATACTGTCGATGATAACTCAATGGTTAAAGTATTATCTCTGAAAGAGTAGTTCACATCCTAGTAGTTCTTATTCTCAAAAGCCTTATAATCCTTTACCTATTGTATGTGATACACAATGTTTGTAACAATATATTCAAGAAAAATCAACTCTCATTTAGGTACTGAATGAATAAAATTTATAGCTAGGTTATATTTCTTCATCAAAATTCTTCCATCAGCATTGGTGATTTAAATATAACAATATTCATGACCGAGTAACATATTTATATAATTATAGTTTGAACATTCGTATTATAGCTTATTGAAAAAGAAAAATACTTTTTACCTTCTAGTAACAAGTGATTCTTATTAAGTTAGTATATAATAAGTTAATAATCATTGTGTTATAGTGAAGATTTGTAGCTCATATGGACGATTTTGATAGAGTTTTTTTCTTTGAGCTGGATAGTTTAGTTATGTAGCTTTTATCACTCATCGAATAAACTTCAAATTTATGTTGATAATGTCATTCAAAAGAACAATGACCAAACCATCCAGCTCAAAGAACAAAATTCCATCAAAATTATAATACAGTTGTGGTGTGTGCTACTTATATTGACATAAGTAGTATATGATGTTAGTCGTGAACAGAATGTCTGGCAGCAGAGAGACAAGAGGATCGAACAGTAAAGAATCGAAACAGGATGCAATTTGTATGAAAATGAAAGAACAATGAAGTCTGAGTCATTTTGAGACAATTGATGGGCAGTTTGCAAATGAAGCATTTACTTTATGATTGTTAGATTTTATTAAAAAGTCGTGTAATTTTTTGCTTAACACAATCGATTGTCCACACTCGTGTGCTTGTTCACTACACAATCTTTAACAATATGGTGTTTTAATTAGTTTCCTTACGGTTATTCTTTGAAGTGCACAAAACAAACTAATTCAGTAATGTTTGATACTATTTTATTTTCAATGAAACTAGCATCTCTTTACATATCAATATTGATTATATTCTTTTTTTTCTTTTCAGAAACACTTATTGTTTATCATATTCAAAAAAGTCATAATTCATCATTACAAGATGATAATGCTTCCATTAATCATGATAACACATTCTCATCAAATTCTTATACATTTAATATTCAAAGTCATCGTAACTAACTAACTAACTTTAACAATCAAACTTCAAAATAGTACTTCTTAAACATTTTTCTTTATTATTAATAATGAATAGCAAATGAATGATATAATATTGATAAATAATAAATACAAACCTGTTCATGAATAGTTTTTGAATTGTTTATTGGTATAACTATTTCTGAATAAGATACAATTGGTGATATTGTACTACTGATTAATGATTTATTAGTAGTTATAGAATTGAAAGGATATTGAATAAATGGTGTTGAAATTATTGATTGATTATTAGAATGAATTAATAATTTAGATTTTTGATTTTTAGTTTTATATTCTATGTTATTCATAGTTGTATTCATATTTAATAAATTATTATGATGAATTGAATTATTTGAGTTTTCTGATATTATACTACTAATAATTGGATTTTTTAATTCACAACGTAAACCTTTATAATTAGATGAACATATACATAATGGTAAGTTAATAGTATCTACATTTGGATTATTCATACATAGTCCATTATTTAAACAATAATTTTTATGATGAATACATTGATCTAATCGACATATTTGCAATTTTTGATCCATGTAATAACCTAAAATTAAAAGAAAAAAAGAAGGTGTATTTGAAACAAACAAAAAACTTAAAAGACAGTTTTATCTTTGAGGAGTTGAATGTTGAGACTGTTTAGAAATTAACATCATAACTCTATCTGAAATTGATCAATAAATCTCGTTAGGATCTCATCACCTTCTTACAACCTATAATATTTTAAAATTAGCCTGACTACAGATATTGACATCCTTACACATAAGTGGGTTATTAAGAATGTATATATGTATCATGATCTAGCGAAGATTCCGATCGATTTCATGCAGTCATAAAATTTTATTTCGAATAAATAAATTTTGGGAGGGAAAGTTCCAGAACATTGAATTAGTGATTAAAACTCATAGAGTCAACAAACATTAGATGATTATATAATGAAAAACTGAAAATAGATTAATAATAATGGTTACTTCATTACATAATCATCTAATGCGTTTTTAATTCCCTGAGTTCTAACCACTAATTCAATGTTCTGAAACTTTCCTTCCCACACTTTATTTATTCAAAACAAACAATTTTTACTGACCTTATTGAATTGTATTGAAGTTTTCGCTACATCATGATACAAATGTTCATCTTTAATCACCCTCATATATATAAGCATGTCAATATCTGTAACCAGGTTGATTTTAAAATATTATAGGTTTTAAGAAGCTGATGAGAACCTAACGAAATAAAATGAGTTCATATTATTCTGCATCAATCTTTGTTCTTGCTCTCTTTAAAATAATAAAGGGAACTATGTATATCAATAAATCTCGTTATGACTGCTTTAACAATAGGTTATTTAGAAATTTTTACGCTTTACTCTACTTTAAAAATCCTTTATTCTCATAGATGTTAACTCTTCAATATTCAACTGTTTAAAATTAGTATCAAGTTATACACCCATTGCATTATTCTTTTGAATTACTTTCACATTTGATATAATGATTCATACCTTACATAAATAGATATTTCTATTCCAATAAGCGATTGTCTCTCTAATAGAAGTTCAAAATTCTCATCTGTTAACTTATCTTATACTATCGGGTAGCTAAAATACTTCATATTTTCGTGTCTACGGTGATGAAGGTCAGACAATGTTTTAAATATTGAATTTGGCGATTATAGGAATATAATCAGAGAAAACGTTTTGTGGATATTATGGAAATTTAATAATCGAATTCATGAGCCATTTGAATCTAGACCACCATGGAAAACTTGGTAGCACTAGAGTATTGTGTGACTCCTTAGCAGTGCGCACCCACGACCCCACGAACCCAGGACAGATCAGTCTCGAGCGCGAGTGCTTAACCACTAGACCACTGAGCCGGCATCCAACGATGTTAATGCAATTATTATTTTCTAAATCTTTTTATGATAAAAAATTATTAAGGAAGCAAATTTTATATTTCTCTGTGCGCCAATGTTTATCTGCATTGTTGTAGGCAACAAACTGAATCGATTGATTGTGATTCATTGTCACCATGCTCATGATGAGAAGCATATACCTCACTTGTGTCATGTACAAATCTCCTCAGTGGTCTGTCAAGAAACATTCAAAACCTTGATATCATCACGTCTTTGATGATTTCTCCGTATTCTTCACGTTATGTCTGTGCAAAAAAATTTACAACTTTACTATATCATAAAATATATGAAACAATAAATCGTATCGGAAGTTTGAGCAAAGATGCTTAGTAAGTTACTATAGTTGATAATTAACTAAGAGCACTATTTCATACTGACCTAAAAATTATTTTACAAAATAATGAATTAAGTTATCTGTGTAGAAATGACATAGATTTATTATGAATATGAAATCATATTAGAAATGTACACTAACTTATATTAACTGATTTCAAATGTTCACACTACAACTTTGACATTACATAGATTATTTCAGAAAGTTTCAGTCTTTCTTTGGTTAGCTACTTGATTTGATTGCATAACTTCGTCATAGTGCATACTCATACTACCCTATTAATTGAAACCATAACTTTTAAGTCACATTGTGTATACACTACTGTTGAATGATTTCAATACATCTAATACACATTTTTAAAATGGGATTGTTTTCATGTATATATACATATAATATTTTCAATAACAGTACTATTAAGAAAAACATAGATTGGATTTTCTATATCATAGATAAAATGTAACTAACCTGGTTTGCATAACATATTCCCTAGATGATCACATCGATATTCTATAGCTTCAACATTACAGAATTTGTTGCATAACTTCCCGAAATAATTTGGTAGACATGAATATGTGACATGAAAACGAACTATCCTGCATTAGTTTTTAATGGCAAAGAAACAATAACAAGTAAAAAGTTTTGAATACATTCCATTTTATAAAGTGAACATTCATACCTAAGTAATAAAACAGACCGTTGACATTTTAACATTGTAAACTATGAGCATCTACTGAACAAAAAGTTTAGATTAATGTCCCTACTTTAATGAAATATATAGTTGCCGAAATCTTAACAATAAACACTGTGTATGTTGTACCAAGAATAAAAATCAACAAAATTATCAAAACGAGACAGGTACATATATATATACGTTCAAGAAATTGGATTAGAAAAATACGTAAAAGCCCACAGATCTTCCTTCTGCGTACTCTTATCAGATTATATAACTTTTTCAAAAACAATTTACCAAAGTCTCTACACCAGTTTATTATTGTTATTGTGTAACACTAGAAACTGAAAACTATGTTAGAACTTACTATACCTCAACTGTATGTGGACGATAATTGTAATATACTGCATACCAACTAAAGTTAAAGATATTGACTGTTACAGTTCACATTAGTAATCTAGATTTATTGTATTTACTATAAGACTTCAAGAGCAAGGTTTCAATCTATTGCATTATCATAAGTGCGTACTCCTTGAAAGTTCTAGACTAAAATTTCACAACTACCTAATATGTTTTTGATTGAAATCATGAGTCATTTGAAGCTAGACCACCAGGGGAAACCTGGAAGCACTAGACGGCTGGTTCGTTCTAGTATGGGACTCCTCAGCAGTGCACATCCACAATCCCGCACCCCGCAAGATTCGAACCCAGGACCTATCAGTCTCGCGCCAGGCGCTTAACCAACTAGACCAGGTTTTCCATGGTGGTCTAGCTTCAAGTGACTTATGATTTCAATCAAAACTTAACAATCTCCACAACCACTAAACTGATACCTAATATGTTCTGGGATTTTCGATGTCTCTTAAACACTGAAATCAGTGCATGGCCTAAATTATTTCTTTAGATTGAACGAGTTTTTACGAACCATCTATAATGGATATTATTTTGATTGTTCGAAAACTAATTAATCATTTTAGAGTCGTTATCCATATAAAGATAAACAATTAATTGACGGTTTATTTACACTTATTATTATGAACACTAGTCATTACTTTTATTGTTTACATATATACGATTTTTTAGTACGAAACGGTCTCCAATACAACTAGAGAGAAAACTTATTTATTTATTTGGGTTTTCAAATACTCTTTCCAAAATAGTTACTTAAAAAACTGGATAAGATTTATACATCTATGATAATCTTTGTGGCATCCTCATAAAATGGTAAATCTATTTGTATCAGAAGGGGTTTTTGTGGATATCATAATAATTTCAACAGTTGAGATCATGAGTCAATTGAAGCTAGATTACCATGGGAAACCTGGAAGCATTGGACGGCCATTTCGACCTAGTATGGGACTCCTCAGCAGTCCGCACCCACGATCACGCACCCCGAGAGATTCGAACCCAGGACCTATCAGTCTCGCACCAAACGCTTAACCAACTAGACCACTGAACTGGCATTTAACGGTGTTAATGTCCAACTTCAACTAATCCACGAAATTGGGCGACACATCCACCATTGTCTTCAGTGAGTTGCTATCTCACAACTGACCCTGTTGAACTCCACTGGTCACTGCTTCTCACTAGAACTCCAGTTTCAATTGACTCATGATCTCAACTGTTGAAATATATTTGTGTCAATATACTTATATTGTTTTTATTCATTCCAGTGTTTATTAAACATTAATGTACAAAATATTATGAGCCTTATAAAACATTCAAATTAAATCATATCAATACTCAAAAGACTAAACAGCTTACTAATTAAACAGTTGTGAATTGTTTGACTATAATAATTAATTGTCAAGCTTCAACTACCTCATTAAATCACATTAGGAACTACGACTAGGGAGTTCATTGATTAAATTTATTTATAATTTCATGACCTTATGACCTTGTATAGTACTACTGTAAAGTTTTAATACATAACAAAAATGTCATTTTCATTTATCAATGTTACAAATATTTGAATAACCGAATACGTTTACCTGGCTATATTAACAGCTAATAGTAAATATTGGTAAATGTTTTTTACTCATTACTATTATTATAAGTAGTGACTGACAAACTATTATTTGAAAAGTGTAATCTGTTTGCATGTTACCAGTTATCGTGAGTAATACACTGCCACAGTCAGACAAATCACTTCAGGTCCAAATAAAAAGTGAGAGCTGCTAATGGGTTTTGCTTAACTTACTAAGGAAACAAATATCCACTATTGGTGGAAAACTTGGCTTAATTTTCTGTGAAAGATATATATTTATGAGTTATTTGTCTATATATGTTGTCGATTTCGGTTAGCCAGTAAATACATTCAACTCACTCTTGGTTCCCACATATTAGCTGATTGGAAGCGTATTTATCAGTATCAGACTCGGACAGTGATATGATAAATCCTTAGATGTAATGCCTTGTGTGGTCAACATCGTTCATCATTAACAATTCAAAATGCCCGTTTAGTATTCTCTAGCTTCCAAATCTCTTTCATTTTGACAGAAGTCCATGATTAATATACTTAGGGTTAAAAGCTTTAAATTGATTATAAAATCCATCAGCTTATACTTTTACTAAATTATTAAAAAAAACTTACAATGAAAGATCTAATGATGTGACAGATAATTCACTTTCTTCTGCTAAACGAAATTCTGTATTACGAAGTTGCTGAATTTCCTGTTCACCAACTTTTTGCACTGTAACCTTTAATTCAATTGGATTCTCCTAAGTAGAAATTAAAATCAGTTGTAAAGATGAAATAAACAAGAGTACAACAACTAAGTTCAACTTTATTATTTACAAATTAGAATTATATTACATAGAACTCTTATGACGGACTACACTGAAAAGTCGTGTAGGGAAGTTAGATCATAGATTGGTTTAGAGAAAACTATCCAACTCAGAGAACAAAACTCCATCACGATCACCCACCTGAACTAAACATATTGTCTGCCATCTCAGGATTTGTACTTCTCAGATGATCTAGCTCTCTTATCCTATATGCAGTAACAAATGCAAATGAAGACAGCCAGTGTAGCAGCAACCTTTGCAGCAGTAGGTTTCAGCATACACAAAATAAAAGGAAAGATCCCAAGAACACAACACAGTTAGTACATTACATTAAACTGACGTTCTTGGATAACTATTTTAATGTTGTATATTTAACCTACCATTTACAAAGTAATATTTGATTTATGCGTAACTTACTGTTGAAGTTGTGAAAGCGAGTGGTTTATATCAATTGAAATTGTACTTTATTTTGTTTGATGCTGCCATATTTGAAGTCTATGAATAAAAACCCTCAATCTAGGTTTCGTGCAAGATTTTACTTGTCATTAATATCTTCAGAAATATTAGTTTGAGTCATTACAGGTAAAATATTCCAAATATTGTAATGAAAGAGAACATAAGTGGGGGACAATCGGAAGTAATCGAGCGCGAAATTACTGAACATCTTATTAAAACTTGAGAACCATACAGTGAATACATAATTTACAAAATATCAATCGATTGTCTCAAACTTGACTGTTTCCTTTGCAAATACCACTCAGTCGTCTCAGACTTCATTGTTCCTGCATTTACATACTAATTACTTTCTGTTCCCGTTCTTTCCTTCTCGACCTTCTGCTGCCAGACATTCTAATCCAGACTATCGCTATATACTACTGATGTTGACATAAGTAGCACACACCACACTCTTCCCCCCTCTAAACAGTCATTCTTGCGATGGTTCTACTTGCAGTGTTACTTTCTTCCTTCCTACAGTCTGTGTCATGCTCTCCGTCAAAATGTCGAGTCTGCGGCGCGCTGACCTTCATAGCTCCATCTACATCCGATGTCCACCCAGCAATCGCACATCCACCGCTCCTTTCCGTCGGCTGCACTAACAACACTATTACATTTTTCGGATAGTTTAAAAGTAATTTATGTAAACGAATTAAACACTATAAAAATTCTTTATTTTATTTTCATTAAAAATTGACTTACTACAGATGCGACTAAGAAACTTATTGACTCTGGTGGTCCTTGAAATGCACAAGTTGCTTGAGTAAAACGAGAAATCGGGCCAGTTAGTTGACATCTGTATAAAAGAATTGAATAGTGTTTTAGACATTATATTTAATACATTCTACGAATTATCTTGTCATGCATCAAAATTCAATTGACTTATTTGGTTTGATAGAATAACCATTTATTATCATCATTAGACTTATTAGGTATATTTAATAGGATATGTTTTCTTAAAGTTAAATGTTGAATTATATTCAGGCATATTCAACTAACCTCAGTAATGATCAATATTATAACTTACATAGTTCTGAGTACAAGATTTTATCTAAATCACTGGGTAGTTTAGAGTTTTAACCTTGAAAGTGATGGATTTTATTTCAAAGGAAAGAATTGAATTATATCCATTTGTCCAATATATTCTTTCATAAAAAAGACTATATACATCTTATCAAACTTAACAAAATAATCTATCCAAACAACCTTACACTGACGTAATGCATAATTTATCAGAACGTGGATAATGAACTAGAAAATGACTGTTCTCGATATGACTGTATCAAAACTAAACTATAGATCTATTGAGAATAATAAGGAGGAAATTTTCCATTGTTAAGATAGTCTCTATCATGGACTGATTTCAGCTAGAAAACTGTTGGATGACCATTTAATTCTAGTACAAACGATCTCATCAGCACACGGAGTCGAACCAAAAACTTCCAAGCTTTGTGTTGTACTTTCTACCTTGAAGTCACTGATTCAGCACCCAATGAATATCCACTCCTGACAAATTCCAAACTAGGATGGCACACTTGTTCAGTGCTTTATGTCTTTCAATAGTTCTCATGTCTAAAATTATTATCTGCAAGTATTTGAATTAGCTTTAAGCTCACAATGAAATAATGGTTATGTCGAAGGATTTGAGAAACATTCATGTACTATAATATCGTATATAAAGAAAAATTTATAAACTTACTTCGGGCAAACTCTAATCACTATTTTTAAATGATGCCATTTATTTGATGAATCATATCCCTGTTTAGCTTTAATAACCTTAATAACTAATTAGCTAAAACGATTATTCGGTTTAGTTCATGATGATAATCCATCGAAACACGTATTTTATTAACAACTGGATGCACAATGCTGAGGAGTTTCACAATAGGACAAAACCGCCGTCCAGTGCTTTCAGGTTTTCAATGGTGGTCTAACATCAATCGGTTCATGATCTCAATCAAAAAGTCTTATACTCTCATCCCCTATAATATTTTGAATTGGTATTCTTCTCTGAATTTCGGTCGTGGCTTAGAAGTACTGGGTTCGATCCTATATGTAAATATCAACACTGAGATACAAGTATAAAATATGGAAGAATAGGATGACGATAAATTGCTTTTAATAGTTAACTTCTACTTGGAATTTTTTTTAGTCATACTGTTTCACCTACCTCTCTCCTATTTCAAACAAGACTAGTAACTACAGAAGGAATAAGTTATATAAAATGATCAGTAACATCTTGATTAAATAAGTATAATAAACAACACTATTTCGAATTCTCCAGTAAATCTTAAACTACCCTTTTAACTCACATTGTTTTTCTCTTTCTGGACATCATAATCCTACAAAATCTAATGAAGTATTTTAAAATGTAGCAAACTTTATTGTTTATCAAACTGTACGATCAAATATTCTTGTCCATAACAAGAGCTATAAGTTTAACAAATAACACAACTGAGAGAATAAACATTTTTAAGAGGCTTACTGATTGGTAAATTCTCCAGCGCATATCACAACTTTGTAAACAGTATCATCGCATTCTGTGTGAAATCAGTGCTAAGACCCAATTTCAGTGTAACATTCGCTCGAAACTGTTAATATATAAAAAAGAAAAAAAAAGAAAACATTGGTTAACTATTCTTTCAATATTAAAACTATAAACTACTTACAAGAATTCAATATAAATAAAACTCATTTTCCAATATGATTTATAGACGTTTTGTGCAATTCAAACGAAACATTCACTATATACCAAACATCAAACAGCACTGAACTGTTGTTTTATCCTCGTTTCAAACTACCCACTGTAAGTAACACATGACATACAAGATTAAGTGAATTTCCCATAGTCGCATTATTTGTCCTTGGCAATATGAGGATGTTCGATTCGGAGACAAGGCAGTTTGCCACTCATGATAGTAGATAAATATCTCTCTATATCACAAATGGACAGGAATCAGAAAAGTAAACGAATAACTTCCAGTTCAATGGCAAAATAAAATCATTTCAAAAATGATATGTATGTAATCTTTTCACTGTTATAAATTTCACTCACAGTAAACTTTCAATCGTACCCTAAAAGTATAAGTTCACATTAAAATAATTAGGTTACTTTCTTAAGTAAGAACTATCAACGATTGCCTGATAACCTTTTACATTAGTTCAGCTTTTGTAGAAATAATGAAATTTATAGTATATTTAATAAAGTTTGTCGATTGCACACAATATCTTCCAATCGAAAGTAAATGCATTTAATTGGAAATTAGGTTTATTTAAATAATAGTTACAGTTTAGTTATTTAAATGAAAATTCTGACATTTCCAAGACATCAGTACTGAGTGGATATTTTTAAATAATCTATAAAAATCATTCAGTTGTTAAATAGTTGTCGCAATCTCATCGGTTTATTTATCCTACTTCGTAATAGGAATCCGAATTCTTCGAACTAACAATATCACATACTAGTTGAAAGGTTCACTTATACCATAGGATCAGTTTAGTGAGAGTAAAAGTCTTACTGACGGATAGCGAAGTTAAAAATGATGTTTGTACCAAAATTCTGATGTATGAAGAGTACGCTTAACGAAACCTTATGAATCACTACTGATATGATGTTTTAAAAAAGAGAATAGATGCTAATATTTAATGACTTTCTAGCTAATATTTTGATGTAATGAGACTAGATTTTAAATTATATACATCTGTATGTATCAAATATATACCAATATTTCGAAAGGCTTAGACATAAATATCGTTTGTTTGTGTATTGATAATAAAATCACAAACTTTGTGACTCAATTCTGATCAAATAATTGTCATCATTACTATGACCTATTGACTTAAGTACAATCATGATTACATAATTATGAAAATATGTGGATAACAATTATCTATACGTCATATCAGTTATTTTACCATGGCCACTATTTGCGACAAAACAATTGCATAATAAAATAATTATACATTTAATTAGATATGATAATACTATGTATCTAACTAGTTAAGTGAATGAAAATAAACAATGCATGATGTATAAATTATACAAAAATATATACAAACGAACAGTGGTTAAATCAATTAAACCCATTTTACTATAGTAATAGTTATTATTGTTATTAGATTAACTTAAAACGCTTACTCACCAAAATTTCATGACTGACATATAAAAATGCCTTTGTTTACAGCATATACATAATTTACTGAACTGTCAATATATGAATCTACATGTCTAAATATCTGAAAGCTCAAAGATAATGATTTATAGTTAGTGAGTGAACTTTATGAAACTATGTTAGATTCTAAATAAATAGATGAGACTAGATTTTCTTAAAAATTGAAAAAAATATACTTTAGTAGTTGAGATCATGAATCAATTGAAGCTAGACCACTGGACAACTGTCCAGTGCTTCCAAGTTTTCCATGGTGATCTAGCTTCAACTGACTCATGATCTCAACTATTGAACTTACTACAATCTCCACAAAACACCTGATACTAAACATATTTTAATTATAAGAAGAAAATGGTAAAGCTATCAGTCAGAACTCAAAGTTCTATTTGTTAATTTAAACAAAATATAAGGAAATTATCTATCATTTCTATAATTTATTGTAAGACAAAGATAAAGTTATGATTTAAATATGAATTATAAACATTTCACAATAAGTTGTTTTAGGAAACTAACAGCTGATTATAAATACATATTTTGTCTATGTTCTACTTGGTAAGAAAAAGTATACATGTATAAATGAGTAAAAATAAGTTTCATTTAATATGAAAATCTTTATAGTACATGATTATAGTCGTAGAATGTGTGGAGGCCCGTTAATTTTGTCATCATTTAAATCGTACGATATTGTCGAAAGGGCTCTCCACTTTAGTGGCCCGTTGATCTGACTCCAATTCGATCGTAAGAATGTTTGTTATCAAAATATATATGTCGCCTATCCTCGTATATAATCATTGACTTTAATCGCGTTAGTCAAAAACGGATTTAGATAAGTCAAATAACGAGAATGGACTTTTGAAAACATATATTTTGTATATAAAATGAATGGAATAGAACGAAGCAAAACGACGCGCAGTGCAGATGGCTAGTAAGCCAACTCCCATTTAACGAAGCGTTACTTAAAAGTAAGTTACAGACACGTGATGAGTAATGGAATAAGAAATTTACACAACACCTACGCGCTAATATAAAAACAGTCAAGATTGATAAGCGAATAATTAACTAGGTCAGAATGTGACTCAAGTAGGATGAATAGAATGGGCTGTCCGAAAGCTATAATAAGGTATATGGGCTTAACATAATAACCGACACTACAAATGTATCAATTTTGAGTAAACGCAACAAACAGGTAACATCAATAAGAGAAGTAAAACAAACTTACAAAATTTGAGCATTTAAAATTTGAATACAACTTACTGATAAACGATGAATTTAAAAGGAATTCCAGTCATCAAGAATTTTTGATATTGTCAATGTCATACGGTTATGATATTATGTTAAAAAAGATAATTTAGTATAGTTATTGTACAGTTTAAAGATTCTGTTATTCGTAAACTAACATCAGCTATGAAAAATTAGATGTAAAAATAATATATAAATCTTTCGTCTAAATTTGATTGAATAGTTTCACAGTATTAGGGTGCCGAGTTGATGTGAGACATTAATGAGGAAGAACAGATTTATAAAATCTCAGCGAATGGATTTAAAGCCAGGTGAAAAGTTGGATTGATTTCAAATTCATATATCTTAGAAATATTGTTCTCATCTGCTGGGATCACCGGGTAAGTAATAGTGAGGTTAGACGTAGGGTGTTAGGGAATGATGGTAAATCAGTTGATGAAGTTGCGAATCTTCATCGACTAAGATGGTTGGGCCACGTGTTACGTATGCGTGAACACTGATCACCACGACACGCAATGCTGACTGTTGTTGGGGATGGTCGGAAGAAAGTTAACGGCTACCGAACCAAAACGTGGCATCAGTGTTTGAAATCACTAACTTCTAGTCTTAGCCATGTTGGTAAATGCATACTACTTGGTTGCCGTCAGCGTGACTATCATAATCAATGGCTGGAGACTCTGGGTGACATGACTGAAAATCGATCACAGTAGCGTAGGTGTATGCACTCTCTGTCTTCCCTTAAACCGTGAGACCAAAACTACTTTGCATCTTTCTTCCTGTATTATGTCTTTATATGCAATCTTTCTTTTATATATTACTACCATTGAAGTAACTATCATGAATCCGGTGTTTATCTTGCTGTGCTAATGATGTATGGCAACTTGGACTAATGCATATATGTGCCTAGTTCTACGTTATAGCTGACTGATTGATCATTTAGTTTTTTTTAAAAAAAACATCATCACAATTTCGAGCTTAACTAATGATCAGTGATGACTTTTTAATACATTTATAATGTTTAGTCACATGGAAACTGTTTTTCATTTCTTGCCAATTTGTGATTAAACCAACAACGACAACAACAACAACAACAACAAAAAACAATGCCAAGAAAAAAAAATAATAATGAACCATTCATTTATTGATATTCAATATGATACATAAACTTATGATTGTATTAATACCTTACACTGAATTTCATCAATATTTAATAATGCTTATTATGAAATTCATTTTATTTAATGTTCCAATTTCCTGTTATTGAATATTTTGACCGTGTATAAAATTAAAATAAACATATATTGTTTTAATGAAACTTCATATTGCATCTTGACCTGTTTTATTTAAATAATCATCTGTAATTAATATAGTTTACGAATAGTTTAAATAAATAATAGTGTTAGTTTAAATATAATCTCAATTCGTTCCATAGTAATGCAGTCTATAAACAGTTAACTATGTAGTTGAAATTATGAATCAGTTGAAGTCCTCGAGAGATGTCTAACTTCAACTAATCCATGAAACATCGCGGGGGCCGGGATCATGTATGCGCACTGCTGATGAGCCCCATACTGAGACGAAACGGTCGTTTACTGCTTACAGGTTTTGCATGTTGGTTTAGCTTCAATCGACTCATGATTTCAACTATTAAAATTACTAAAATCTCCACAAAATTCCTTCAGTTAATTATATAGATTCATTAATTATGGTGTCAAATTTCTGGTTCAAATGAATACCGTCTCATAAAGATGAATTCATGACTAGAAACTAAATGAATTTTTTTACAATAAACTATGAACTATACTGATTAACCACTGAATAGTAATCAATGACATAACTGCCTAGTATTTGTCGCTCATCAATTCTGGATACTACAACGTAGTGTCAGTTTCATTATGATTGTAGATACTAAATGTTGACAGGTGCCAATTAACATAAATACGAGGTCTAGGGTTCCCAGTTGATTAACTATAAACACTTAATGTAAAAATATAGTGCATATTTTGATAATATAATTTGACTGATGATCAATACAATTCCATATTCATTATGAACTAAACATCGGTTACTGCCTAATAACTAATCACTATAAGTGTATGTATTGTTACTCAAGGAGGTCAATCATGATACTAATTTATTAGTGATCACGTTTTTGACAGTGGTGTTGACTGATGCAGATTTGAATTCCTTTCAAATTTCACATATTCTCTGTTGATTACTGTCAACTAGAACGTACATTAGATCGAGGGCCTCATGTCAATTGCTTCTAAACACCAAATATCAAACGTTAGAATTTATTTGATATATGTTAATCTTCTTTTCTAATTTAGCCTCACCAGTTTTTAAACATCATTTGAAAGCCTGACATTTGAGATCTACAGTTCAAGTAAACTCACTTGGTGCTGTTTACTTGTATCTTCCCAACAAGAGGTTGATCAATTGCAGTCCTAAATAACAATGGGAAGAAACAAGTAAACAATACCAATTGGATTTAAAACTTCGCCCCATTGCACCAGCAGGTGGCTATCATGACTCAGCAGCCAAGTGAGTGACACGATGGTGTTCGAGGCGAACGGTATTGGGTTTGAGTCTCAGAGTGGACATCATCCCTGAGGTGCAGGTACATCCAACTGACGAATCCAAAACAGGACGAAACGTGCATCCTGGATTCCACTGCTAGTCACTATCCATCATTGCTTATAATGATTCATATAAACTCCTAAAAATGTGATGATTCACTGATATCATCATATAAACTTTAACTATGATGATTTTAGTTTATCACATCTATCCTATTTAACCACTCCTAATTCGACTGTGGATTTGAATCCCACAACGTGCATCATTTCCGTCAAAATAAAAGTTATACACTCCTGATAAGTGTCAACCAGTACAACACTTAATTTCAGAGTTCTCCAGAGACTGCCCTAAACTACCTGGCATGTCTATCATGGATTTTCATTGAGTGATATTTGTTTTTAAAATCTAATCTTATTGACCAAATAGGTTGGAATGAATACAGCTAAAAACCTAACGTACTCAAATGTATGGAAAATTTTAAAGTATGCAAAATGAATTATGTGAATTTTAAATGCAATGAAATTGAATAGGTTCAAATATATTAGGGAACTAATGTATGGAAAATGTTACGTATGCGTTGAAACAGAGAGTTTGTGAAGATTGTCCCACTTGAAAACAAAACAAAACTGAGGAGATATTTAGTTTTATTTTGTGACTTTTCACAGTAATCGATACCTACAACTGCATATGGGATCAAACGCACTATATTAATTTACGAAGCAAATCAGAACAGTGTCATATTAAAAAACTGGGATAATTTTAATTTTGTTTCTGTAGTTTCATCAAAGTAATTTATACTTCATCTAATATATAATTTTTGAATGAATAATGTAGATAATTGATGAATTGTACTGCGTGATATTATTGATATTAATACGAAATTATTGGCTTTTCAATCAAGCATTTACAGTCGATATTCATGATTCATATACGCAACCTATACTCATGTCTAATTTGGACACTGTTCAAATTGCAGTGGTATCAAGATACAGTACTGTACAATAAAGATTTCAAAGCTAAATAGTTTAATCTTAATACTATACAATTCCATTCAACGCTTATACTTAACAATGGAATTATGTAATGAAATGAAACACTGTATTAATATGATTAACGGTGAATATTGGTTTTATTAAAAGTACTATATTAATACTAAAAGATACTTATCTATAGACTTTACAAAAAAGGTCAATCAGCCAAGTCGAATTAGGAGAGGTTAAGCAGGATAGATGTGATGAACTAAAATCATCATAGTAAAAGTGTATTTGATGATATTAGTGAATTGTCAAGTTTTTATATTATCTACGATTCATATAGTTTGTTACTATCTTAAATATCAAGCTTTCAAATGATGTTTAAAAACTGGTGAGGCTAAATTAGAAAAGAAGATTAACATATATCAAATAAATTCTAACGTTTGATATTTGGTGTTTAGAAGCAATTGACATGAGGCCCTCGATCTAATGTACGTTCTAGTTGACAGTAATCAACAGAGAATATGTGAAATTTGAAAGGAATTCAAATCTGCATCAGTCAACACCACTGTCAAAAACGTGATCACTAATAAATTAGTATCATGATTGACCTCCTTGAGTAACAATACATACACTTATAGTGATTAGTTATTAGGCAGTAACCGATGTTTAGTTCATAATGAATATGGAACTGTATTGATCACCAGTCAAATTAAATTGTTAAAATATGCACTAAATTTTTACATTAAGTGTTTATAGTTAATCAACTGGGAACCCTAGACCTCGTATTTATGTTAATTGGCACCTGTCAACATTTAGTATCTACAATCATAATGAGTCGATCAGCTAGAAACCCTGAACCTAAGTTATTATCACCTAAAGGAACTAACACTGATTACTATTCGGTGACCAACCAATGGCAATCAAAGCATCATATCATATGATAATTAAATATTTAAAACCATAAACAATATGATTTGAACAAGTAGAAGTAACCACACCAAATAATGCTCATAAAAATTAGTGTGTTATGATATCACTATTCAGACTATTGACTTAAAATGTCAGATAATTTATCTGACACCAGATTTTATTTATTATTCAAATATTAGAATTTAATAAACCCAGTTAATACAGTCATGCTTTTGACTTATGAATAGTGAAAAGCTGAATCATATAAGATGTTCATTAGTTTCCCACTTAGCAACAATATCTTGTAAGAAATTTCATAATAAATGAAATTGATTCAGGATAGATTTAGATACAGAATTGTGTCATACTCGTGAAACATTCTGATAACACATTAAGTTGTCAAAATGTTTAATTAAGAAACGAAAGATCGAAGTAAAAACATAAGACAGGAAGAACAAGAACAATTAAAAAACAGGCATCACATGATCTGGGTTAATAAATTTAAATCAACATTATCAGAATTGATTTCATGAAAATATAAGCTGTTTTTAGATAAGCAAGCAGAGATTAAATCTCAGCATGACTAAAGGTTCAACGAACCTACAAATCGACTGAGATCTAAAAAGGAATATCGTAATTTCAACCATTAGTTGAAATGTAATATTGCCACTACCGGAACTGAATGTTTCACGTTTTAGTTGCGTGTGAAGCTATGGATAAACGCTCCTGAAAAATTTAGTGAAACTATATAATAATCTTAGTTAGACAACTGATAAAAACATTAAAATATTGAAAAACTGTTTCGTTCTAATAAGGGATTTCTCATTGATCTAAGTCCACAATCGCGCTAACGGGAATCAAACCCAGAACCTTCAGCACAAACGCTTAATCTGTAGACTAGTGGTGCCTAATTTCAATTGACCCTTATGAACTCATTGAACTACCCTATTAAGTGTGTATATTGTTCATTTATCCCTTATACTTGTCGGTTTTCTGCTATAGACTTCAATTAGTGATGAAAACCATTACTGAATGAACTTATATTCTAACACATCATTGCATAATTACTTAATCTTGTTCTCATTACTTTATGCATCTATTATACTCAATATTCTAGAATCAATTTTCGCATCTTTCACATACGTACAACGTTTTATTAAACCATTTTAATTTTTATTTGAATGTTTACTACACTATGTTAATATATTTTTGTGATGATTTTCAACCGAATTTACGTTTTACAAGTATGTTAAAATGTACTCTTGAAATTTTGAAATATTACATAGAATGCAATTGACTACTTAGAACCCAAATGAAATACATGTTATCTTGTTCAAATCCTTATTTATAAACTTTCAAAAAAAAAACAACATTGATTTTATGGAACATCTCCCTATTACTACTGTAATTAATAATAATCCTAAAATTCAATTATAACATCTTGTTAGTTTCTAATTAAAAATGAAATGAATTGGGCTTTATTACCAATCAATCAATTAATCAATCAATCAATTAATTAATCAATCAATTAGCACAGTATAATCTTAAAACATTGATCATCTGGGCTACCTGTTCCTGCTATCTAGATATTTCAATAAGTTATCTATTTTTGTTTGTTTTAATATATCACTATGTTTATTAATCGCATAACCTATTCTGCTGCGTTTCTGAAAAGTGTACAACCTTTCGTTGTCAAAGTTACAAAAAACTCAATAAGAGACAATGTGGTTGCTGGCAATATACAACGGAAAGAATGCACATTATTCAGATGTTCATTTAATGAACTGCTAACATGTAACTGGCGATCACTCAATATTTATCGCAAGGATCGACCAAGAAGAAAGAAACGGAAACTTGTTGAAATACTTTGCGCTGAGAATTCTATATTGTACCAAAAATATAATATTGAATAAAGCTGATAATAATAATAATACTAATAATAACTCATCTTAGAACTCACTTGGGAATTAGATTCTATACAATATGCTTGAATAATAATAAAATATAATACAAATAGATGAAAATAACTTGAAAATTTGAAATCTAACATTTTTATACATTAAAACATAATTTTAAAAAAAATTTAGTTTATTTTTGCTTTTCCCCAGTGAACATTTTGATTACATTCTAATAGTTATACAAATATGTAATAAATAATTGTACTTTACTATTTCTATTAAATAATGTATGTTTTGTCTTGAAATAATAAGATTTCATTGAATATAAAGAAAGAAATTAGTCCATCTATATTGGATTAACATTTATTGAAGATATTGATTAACTTTATATAAATTTTATTATGTTGTCAAAGAGAATATTTGAAGAAAAATTTAGTACATTTTAATCATTGAAAAACATTGGAGAATATTTTTGTAACTGAGATGATTTGGTTCTAATTGTCATATGAAAAACACGAATAATTATGAATAGTAATAGTAATAATAATAATAATACGAATAATAATATTAAATCTAGTAAACCATCGACGGTACAGATAGCCAATTACGAATGTAAGTTGTTTATTTGTTTAGGTGAATTACAGATTATGTATATATATAAAGGCACATTGATGGATTTTCAAAAGATCATACATCTCAGCATGGACAACCATTGAATTCATTTACTATTCATCTACCTACAATATAGATACAGTACACATAATTATGTGTATATGCACACATATATAGAAGTACATACACAAGCATGCACACATTTATTTTATTCTGTTTACAGTAATCAGTAAACCAATTATAATGATGAATTTTAATGTCCGAATTTATAATGAACATTGATAAAAATTTATTCATTTTTTGTATGATAAATAAATATTTATTTACAAATAAACTGATGATTGAACAATGAATAGTGAAGTGAATTTCTGGATAAGTCAACTATTTCACTTATTATAAGCAAAAATGGATAATGGCTAGCAGTGGAATCCAGGACGCGCGTTTCGTCCTGTTTGGGACTCGTCAGCTGGATGTACCTGCATCTCACAGTTGATGTTCACTCCACTGCTAGCCACTATCTATCTTTGCTTATAATGCTTGTAAATTTAGGCAATATCGAGGCATACGCACAGTATGCACATATGCCAATAAGAGACTGATCAATTTTTAGCCCTAAAACATCAATGGGAAGATTCAAGTAAAACAATACCAAGTATATTTCACTTATTATTATAAATAACATAGTGATTAGTAAAGCTATTTATTTAAAGCATTGAAATTCAACTCAATGATTTTAAAGTGATATTATGCTCATAGGAAGATATGAAAGTTGAATGTTCAATCTAGTGTAATAATGATCGTTTGTAGGAGTTCAGTTGAAGTTCAACTCACTCACTGACAGCGTTGCAGACTGTAAAACTAGGTAACAAATCTTACGGAGAGCAATGATTTTCCAAAAATTCCAGGTGTCTTGTTGATGAGTATTCATTATAATGTAACCTATGTCTAAGGTTTTCTGTTGATCAACCTCAGTCATAAGACACTAGAGGTTTTAGATGCCCTTGATCAACCTAAAGTACAACGGGTCTCTGATACCTAACTCCTGGGATTCATCAATTGATTATCGGTCCATAATGAAATCTATCCTAAGTTAACATGTTATCTTTCTGAGTTTATTTAGTCTAATGTGTATTATCATATGATAAGAAGTTGAAAGAATATACATTTCAATTACTTTATTAGTGACAACAAAGCTGTATCACTAACTATATATTGTGAAAAAAAAATTCCAGCTACATAAATCTAATGAGTAGCAATAAACAGAATTCTGAATACGAAACTGTTTAAAGTAAATTTATTTGTATGTACTATATAGTTGTAATCGTAAAACAGTGATTGATGCTTTAAAAATTTAAATTACGGCAGGTAGCCCTTATTTTAGTTACTGGTGTAGAAACAAATCAAGGTACCAGAGTGTTTCAGTATTTTTGAATAAACAGTACAGTATATCAGTAATAACCGTTGTAATATCACTACTAATAATTGGTTTCATGAGCTTAAAACGCTTGAATGTTAGAGAGACTTTTATAATATTCCAAAAGGTTCTACATCTATCCTTGTTCAGATTTATGTACAAAAGACTGCATAACTACTTGTCCGAAATTGTGTGATATTCATCATACGCTTTTTCGACCACTTTTTTAATTAAACAAAGTATATATATAGTTAATTGTTTAGTACTACCACTAAACTGTTACTTCTAACAAATATGGACACAACTAATTAATTGATTCTATATAATTGAACAAGTACTGATACGGCTTGATGTAAGGAAGTAAGTAAGTAAAATTGAAGATAAGAATTTACTGACATAACAAAATCAATTCCAAACAGTAATGAGTACTAATTCAAAATTACACTTCATTTCTATATGATTTACTAATCTGATTAATAACTAAATACATGTATACAATTTACAATATCAATAGATTTAATTGCATTAATTGACAGTAATAAATTATTTATTACGTCCTAACGATAGTCACTAAAGGCTTCATTGTTTTATTCTCATAATATTCAATGGTTAGTTATTTAGAGCTTCTTGATATAGCTCATTAACTGTATTCTACAAATAATAACGAATCTAGTTAATCAATTTTCTTTTTAAATTTCATAAATTTAAACTTCAAAGGTGATAGACACTCGTCAAACAAATTGGGATGATATTCCTATAGCAACTATCCTACAACCAGTTTCGATTATGGTTAATTTTGGTTAAGTCCTTTTATTAACTTACTTAACAGACAATGCTATAACTACAGTAACAATTTTCATATTTCTGTGTACTATTATGATCACTATCGTATCTGTATAAACGTGTACGCTTGACCACATGACAGACTAGCGAAAATGTTAATAGCTTAAATATCGCTCGATGATACATTCTCTTCTCCATGTATATGTGTACGAGAATCCTATTATTAGCCTTTGTTTTGCCTCGCTGTGCCCTTATGCAATTTGACTATAAATTCGCCTCTGTATTTTCTCGCATATACATATTCGCCTCTCTGTTTCAAATTCGCTTGATGTGCTTATGGTTCTGTGATCTGAGCTATCCGCTAATAAACTGTAGTTACCGCTTCTCATTAACTTCTGATTTCAAACACCCTTGAGATTTATATTATGACGGTTATCGAGATGATTGATTAACGAAGCAAAGCCACTACATTCCTATTAATGATTTAAATTACTATCTTTCTTAATCTACAGTAAAACATCACCTTTTACTAAACGTTTTGAAATTCATTTCATTAATAAACTACTACAGTTGCAGTTTATAGATTTATTTCGACTAATCAAACAGTTAATTTAGTATAATGTGAAAACACTAATTACACCTTAGATGAGACGAGTTTCCTCGGTTTCTTTTCTTTCGTAAATTATTTTTGGACATAAGCAAAATATGATTACAGACTGATTTAGCTGCTTCTCGGTAAAACAAAAGCCATCTGAAATTTAATGAAATAGCTCAATGTTTGACAACAATTGAAAAAGGAGATGTGTTCAGTTAGAAAGCATTTCTTTCAAGGAAATGCACAAATTACATTCTATAATATTCCATTATCAATTAAATAAGAAAGATTGGTTCGGCTAAGAGTTCTCTTTTTAGCGAATTCATTCTCAAAGCTGTACAATAGCAAACATACTTACTTATTTTTCAGAATGATAATTACAATAATCATGATAACAGACTTCTGTTAATTATGATAACAGTGACGTAGAATAAACATAGGTATTAAAAATACTTTTAACCAGGGAAACTAATAATCGTTTGATTGTTAAGGGCTTAAATATTCATCATAAAGATGGATAGGGAAATTATCATTGGCAAAGGATGGCACAGCATGATGAGATAAAATGTTGAAATTGAGACGAAATATATTTAGGAGGATCATAGAAACAGAAATAAACCAGTTGGGGGTTAGAAAGTTTAGGGAGAAGATGGAAGGGGGAACAGACGGCTGTAAAGAAAGGAGAGTATGAAGAAAGACATTTTGAGACATCAAGACCATGGTAGAAGGAGAAGTACCAATCTCTTTTGGACACACAATTATGGTTTTCCCAAATGTATGGCTATCACTTCGGCAATGTTAAGAAGATATAATATAACTTCCTTTGGAAGACTTCTACTTATTTTGTAGATGACGTTTAACGCAGAGTCCGTCTTGATTGAGTGACCAAAGACAACAAGCTAGAATTAAACTTCGTACAAGAAATCTTATCACTTGGTTTTTCCAAACTAATGATATACACACCAAAACTCCAATGAATAGGATTTACTTCAAATGAAGTTATTTAGAGAAATGTGGATAATATTGACGTAGATAATAATATAGAGAATTTATTGTATATATTTATTTGTCTGGTATCATCGTCATATCTTTGAGACAAAAAAACTATAAACCAACAAACATTTCCTTGTCAAATTATTTACTTCGAATATATCATGACATAAAACATTAATAATAATAATAATAATAATAATAATAATAATAATGACAGCAGTAATAGTAGCAGTAGTATCAGTAATAGTAGTAGTAATAGTAATGGTAGTAGTAGTAGTAGTAGTAGTAGTAGTAGTAGTAGTGATAGTATAAAACCTACCGTTTGGAATATCTTTTACTTCGGAAAATAAGAATTATGTAAATAATCTATTAACTGAGTCAACGATTAAATATATTCATGTACAATGAATAAATGTTAATCATAAAATGATTCATACGAAAATGATAATTAATCAATCAGAATGTAATAAGTGTATCACAATAGTTAACAGATTAGAATGTTCATTACTGAAACTTGTTGGTTAGTTAGTAAGCTTTAATAAATGTTATTCGACATAGATACTTATAAATTATATAATATCTGTGTCTATTTTTTTGGTTAAACAGTTCTTACAATTACATCATATCTGATTGAGAATTCAGTCAGTAACCAGTTTTTCTACTTCTAATTATTTGTCAAGTTAATAGGGTTCATCATTTCTGTTCATTAAAGTGTAACAAATAACAGAATTATTATATTAAATCATGATCTCGTT